ACTTCATGCAGATGTCTTTCGAGAATATGCTGACGACGTTGAGAAGGCTTTCGAGTTGTTTCTCGTTGGAGGCGTAGAGTTTCAGGTCGTCCATGTAGAGAAGGTGGTTCATGCGATGGTCTGCATTCTTCCCCTTTCCTACGTAATAACCACAGTCAGTCCGAGCTAGCTCAGTACTGAGAGGGTTGAGAGCCAGACAGAAGAGTAGAGGAGATAGCGTGTCTCCCTGGAAGATCCCGCGTCTGATGGAGATCTCGCGCGTTATTATATATATATGTTATTATATATATATATATTCTGCCTATTTCATGGTTCTTCATCATATCCCATCTCTCGACATTGTTTTGGATCCCTCATGAACAAGAAGGTATTTCTAGTATTCTTAGCAGCATTGACGAAACGTCACGTGTATTTGGAGCAGCAGAGGCCATAGATACCTTGAGCACGGTTGAAAGAGTGACGTCGATAGCCTAAAAGTCACTTTTTTCATGTGTACCATCCAGCCAGGACTCGAGAAGACGGACTAAATGCCAAAGAAAGGCATACTGTGACGGTAGCCACTGATGAGGCAACGGAAGGGATCACGCAATGGCGAGACGGAAGATTTATGGGCACTTTGCATAACCATCTTCGCGTTGAAAAACAGGCAGAATATTCTACAGAAAAAATTCTGGAAGCCATGAGAATAATAAGAATCGTGAATAAAGTCAGATTCTTTTTAAAATAAGAAGGCTGAATGCCTCATACAATTTGGAGCATCCATGGGCGGCAAATATTAGCTTTACTCGTATATTAATGGCGTGGACTGCGTATCCTTCGTAAACTCGTGACGTGTGCCACTCGCTTTCTGAAACTGAATCGGTATTTGGTGACTTTGACGGGACGATAGTCAATGAAATATGAAGGAATGTGAATCATAAGCCCAGTCAATATCATAGGTATATTCCTTCCTCTGAGCCTTTAGGGCTGCCACTTAGCGAGTGATGGGATGGAAATGTGAATACAGTGTGAACTAGAGAGAAAGAAAAAAAAACAGACAAGAAGCAGTGCAAAAGGGACAAAGACGTGTCAATACGATACCAGATGATGTAGTCCTAAGTCTATGCTTGAAGCAGAACCCATGCTTCCTCCTGAAAAAAATGGCATAAAAGGGCCTTCGAGGGTAAAGGTACCAGACTCCTACTTCAAAAGATCCATGGACCTACCCCTTCATATATTACTTCTCTGCTCTGGCCCCCATTTTAAAGGAAGAACGAAATTCTATAGCCAAGAAATTAAACCAAGAGATTTAAAGCTCGAAGTGCACCATTTGTTTTACGCATTTTTGGAGAAAAGCTTGATTGGCGCCACTTTGAAAACATGTATTGCTCGGTACAGTATAATTTCGAAGGCGAACATGGAGTTATTCGTGGAAGTTGAAGGTGGGGATGTGAAGAGGCATATATTCCCATATTGACGACTCGAGTCGAGATCGAGACGATCTGTACCGGGCCTCGCCTATCAAGAGGCTCCAAAGGGCCTCCGGTTTAGTTTTGCCCTGGGCCTCTGGAAACCACTGGGCGGGTCTGGTTATTACCTAGCAGGAACCCTGCTATGCTCCGTCTATCTAAGCCCCTTATAAGCCCCTTATATTCGTAAAAGAAAAAGGGACGTCCCTACCTGAACATCGAACCTTGAGTCCACCCTTACTCAGCTCTTCCAGCCAATCTATTCCCAGTGCGCCAAAACGTTCGCTTGTATCTTCATAGTGCTAGCACCTATCGTCATTTTCGTAATTCATCTCTAAACCATCTGCAGCGTCATTATATTCCCATTATTTGCAAGCCTACGAAATTGAACATTACACTCTAAATGGGATAAGGTGTTCCATTCCCTACTCACGCAATCTATCGTCACCATTTCGCGGAAGAGTCGAGAAAGCCGGTTCCGGCAACACTGGATTCATGTAGCCCTGCCATAACACTTGGATCAGACTTAAGATGGCGGCGGGCTCGCCTTCTCAACCTCAGTGTCTTCAGAAGCCTGAGCGGAAGAGCATAATCAAACCCGTAAGTTTTTCCCGGAATCCCAATCTCCTGCGCCTTCCATATTGAAGCTTAGGTAAAGTATCGAAGTTAGCCGACGCCTTATAGGCCTAGGCGCTGTAATGGTTTGTAAAGCAACATTCCAAGACTTTTGGGCATAGGCTACTGGGGGAAGGAAGCTTGAAGCTTATCCCATCCTAACCAAATTAATCTCAAATCTCCCCTTAGATCTAATTTCGGGCTCCTAGAGAGGGCTCGATGTTGTCAGAATGGGTACTACAGGGAGACCACAGGAACCTCCTATCAGATGCAACAAAGTTTTGGGTATATATATGGACTGTCACCTTGCCTTCAGAGACCACATTGGTCAAATCTACAATAGTGCTAAGGCAGGCATCTCAGTCATTAGAGAACTGTCAATATCTGTCCACCTCAGACATAATTATCCATCATGCTTTAATTGTGTTGTACATAAGATGTGGAGTTTGGGTCTGGGGTTTTGCAGTGCATCAACTACTGGTCAGGATTTTGTGAATTCAAAAATGGACACTTCAGGTGGTCTCTTACAAAAATAAATTGAGTTCATGCCATGATTTTTGCATGTAGTAGAGTATTGACAGCCTTTTCTTTTTCATGGAAACCTATCTGGTCATCCACAAGATGAAAATGGAAGGGTCATCACATACCATGAGTGAAAGATATCAGCACTCCATAGGGTGCTGATATCTCTACTAAGAGAATGAGTGCCAGACAATGTCAGAGGAACTTAATGTAAGATGGATTGAAACTTTATGACAGCCTACTTGAAACTTTAACATGCCTAAATCCCTAGTATATCAAGTCCAAATTGTGGTCTATCCTAATTCAGAACCCAAGTTGCAAAATCAGGAAAATCCTCAATCTCTTCAAACCTCTTCTCAATCCCATTCCATTCTAAGCTGTAACAAAATGTACCTATTGTGTTGTATGTTGTGATGACACTATAGGCTCAGATGTGAAGATGATAAGACAGTGCTGTGCTTTGGTCCTCGCCATACTTTTACATCAAACATTCAGAATTGATGAGAAGCTTAGGAGTCTCCCTTCCCCACCAAATTGAGACTTCTATTTTTAAAGTACCAATTTGGTTTTTTAAAATTTATTTTAGAGGAGCATTTGAAAGGTCTTCTATATTTTGTACTGCAACAGTTTATTTCACAGTTAAATTTACATATACAAGTGCAGAACCCTGATGAGGGGATGAAAACTGCCTAGGATGGCTTTTTCATTCCTTCTTTTTTTGCCTATGTTGGCATTTGGGTAATGGTATAGTACGCGTCCACTTAAGGAATACGGTAAAATGTGTGATTTTATGCACAACCATCTCTCGGGGGCATACGCAGGACAAGAGGGGGGATGGTTCTGATAAGGCTGACGACGAGCCGAGGGGGCGTTGTCAGGGGCCAAGCCCCTAACAACACCTCCTGCCCCCTCCCTGATTTCGCCCCTGCCATCGGTATAGTACATGTCCATCCTCCAAGTTCAAACTAGGTCACAAAGAAGTTCCCCTATATAAACAGGTTTCTCAGTACCCACTTCATAGCAGAAGTAGGAATGGCTGATCTGCCACAGACCCGAGACCCTAACATCTTTGAGATGGGAGTAATTTTTGCTCTGACAAGGTGGCTACTCTGCGATTCCTGCAAGAAGAGAGGCTCATACTCATGAGCAGGCCCTTCCCTGCCCAGATTGCACCGAACCTTGCTTGGCAAGGGCATAGGCGGCCCCAGATTCCCGTTGGTCGCAGGATTCCTTGCCGGTTGTCTGCAAACTGCACTGGCTTGATGTACGAACGGCAGAAGTCCAATTGGAACCCTCAGTTCCATTGCACTACCTGCAAGAAGACTCGCTCCGTTCAGTCAGAACTACCTGTCCCGCTCGTCCAGCTCTAAGTTGCACAAGCAGTAGTGGCACATTGGTCATGGTTTGCCAACCTTGACGCAAATGGACGAAACCAAACTAAGTTGCCTTTCAATGTATCTGTGATGTTGATATTTCTTTGGAGTAAGAGCATGCCACACAGCCAGGTCAAAGATCTCCTTGGAAGCCTGCTCAGCGCAAACGTGACCGTGTCTGACTAGTTCAACTATTTGTGGGAGTTACTGGTTGCTGCTTTCAATGCTGCACCACCAATAGGAGGGCCAGGAATGGTGGTCCAGATGGATGAGAACTTCATCTGAAGTCGTCAAAAAAACAACCAGGGCAGGAGTGAACTCCCGCCAGCTCGCCGGAACTATGGAAATCGCATAGTGGGGCCATGGGTCTTTGGAATGTGCCAGCGTTTGCTGAATGGGGAAATGGATCAACAGATGTTTCATGTCCTCCGAAGAAACGAAGACATCCTCCACCAATCTTCACTAGAATGGTCCTTCCTGGGACAACCATCTGGTCGGACAAGTGGGCAACCTACAGAAGATTGAGCCAATGGGGTCAGGGGTACAACCACCAGATGGTTAACCATTCGGCCAATTTCGCTGACCCGATCACTGGCGCAAATACTCAGGCAATGGAACGACAGTGGAGGGATCTCAAGACAAGCCTGCTGCGAAGGCAGAACGGTTTCTTCAATGCAACACTGACCTCCCACTTGGCCGAGTATTGGTGGAGAGGACTTCACAGCGAGACTCCATTCTGGGTCATCCTCGCTGAGATCAGACGGCAGTACCCAATGTGATGATCCATCCCGGACTTGAAAAACCTTCTTCAGTACTTTTGATGTTTCTGAGTTCTTAATTGTGTGGGTTTTTTGATGCAATAAATGTGGGTCTAAGTGGATGGTCTCGACCAAGTGGACATGTACTATACCGATAGCAGGGGCGAACTCAGGGAGGGGGCGGGAGGCATTGTTAGGGGCTTGGCCCCTGACTATGCCCCCCCCCCAGCTCGTCAGCCTTATCGGAACCACCCCCCCTCCCGTCCTGCGTATGACCCCGAGATATGGTTGTGACTAAAATCACACATTTTACCATATTCCTTAAGTGGACGTGTACTATACTATTACCGGCATTTGTCCCCTCACTGTATGAGACTAAAATGCAGCTCATAATAGGCATTTGATCATGCTGGGCTGTATCCCTGACCTGTTATTCTCATCTGAGGCAGTTTTAATCTTACCTTCTCCATATTACTCATTGTCAGGAACTTTAACCATCTATGGTTCAGGTTGTTGCTTTAATGTTTTTTAATGCTACAATCAAGACAACCCTAATAGTAATAATTGATCACATAAATTAAGGCTTTCTTAGTGCCCAATTCCATATAGAACAGTATTTTCTTGTCCTTTTTTATACTTTTTCAGCGGTGTTTTAGGTATCTAGGTCAGGAGTTATGTTAACCCTTTCACTGCCGTTCATGCCATATGGCATGTTCGTGTGATGAACCTCCACTGGCTTGTTTGGTAGGGGGAGGTTGATTTGGCATTTAAATCCTCGGCAGTCAAAGGGTTAAGTATCATCCCTGTGTAATTCATCTGGAGAGATACTTTGGTAATTTTCTGACAATTCAAGCTTTCATTGCATCTCCCAAGCAAGGTACTATGCATGCATGGCTAACCATCAACTACAGGCAACTGCACTTGTCTATTGTGAAGAGATTTGAATATATATACTGGGTGTCCATAAATTATCTGAACAAGTTTGTGATGTCATTGTTTACAAATGAAAAAAGCGAGCGCATTCAAACTTGGCACTTTTAATAGGAATATGATTAAGTTTTTATTGATCTGTTGATAGCCCTGAACCATTAAAGTTGCATGCACATTGTTGGTTTAAAAGAAATTATTTCTGCCTTGCAAAAATCTCTTTGCATTCAGTTGTTTAATGGGAAAAAATGTATCAACAATGTGGAGGAAGTTCAAAACTGAGTTTGACAAAGATCCTCCCTCAAGGACTTACATTTATGAGTAGCACAGTATGTTTTTGGAGACTGGATGCTTGTCATCACATAGGAGTTGAGCGACAAAGCATTGATGCAGAGACTGGAAAGGCAAATTGAAGGGCATTTTCAAGGTGTCTCAAGAAATGTGTCTGTAGGGCAAGCCAAGAACTTTCTGTCCCAAAACATGTTCAGTAGGTGTTGTGAAAACACATGGCCTTACATTGCTGCAATGTGCTTGCATGCATCAAGGAAGACTTCAGTTGGGGCAGCTATCACAATGGTTGTTCCATGCTAGACATGCTTTCCTGAGTTTGGAGCAAGATCAAGTACCAATTTGATATCTGCCGTGTCACTAGCAGAAGCTACAGCAAAATTTTTTGTAACTTTATATGGACAAATTAAATCATATTTCCAACAAGTGTGCCAAAAAATTGAACATTCCTGCATTTGTAGTTTCGAAAGAGTGAAGTCACAAAATTGTTCAGATAATTTATTGACACTGCATATACGAGGTGAATATTAAGTCTGGAAACGGTGGATTGCATGTAACTGACTTTAGTGTAATGGAGCTTTTAACCTCCTTTAACTACATTAAAGGTGGTTTAAAGCTCCCATTAGGTTAAAGTCATTTTCATGCAATCCACCCATAGGCTTTACATTTTCAACTGTTTTACTTGCATCTTGAGGGGTATATCTCCTAGGCATGTTCAGAAATTATGCCTGAGCATCTCAAAAGTGTGCCAAGTCAATGGGTGAAGTTACTGCAAAAGTACATGAACAACAAGGGAGGACACATTGAGCTACTGCTGTTCAGTTTCTAGAGATTCACCCTATATATATATATAATGAATTACGAAAAAATGCATCTCGCAGCCAACCAAAATGAAGAGAAATAAAAAATTCCCTGTTTCGACTATTGTCTTCTTCAGGAGGAAAAAGTAGGCTCATCACAATTGTCTAACTATGATATAGGGTCGAAAAAGCGATAGTTTGGAAAAAAATCCCAGGTTCTTATTCAGTCCTATTGCGTGTGTCTTCCTCTTGACAATATATTTAATTTCCATTAGTTTCCTTTCCTTCGCGTTCCTGAAATTCCCACCACAAAGTAGGTCAGCCTGGAGATCCGATAGTGAATGATGCGGCTGACTGAAGTGTTGGGATATGGGCAGATTGGGATTGCGTTTTCTGATGCTTGCCTTGTGGTTGTTAAACCTCAGTCTGAATGATGTTCCTGTTTCACCAATGTACTCCATGTTGCATCTTTTGCACTTGAGGGAGTAAACAACATTTGAGGATTTGCAATGTAATTGTCCTGAGGAGAAGGCAAAGAGTCGACAAATTGCGCAATGTCTGCCTATATATATATGTATGTATGTATGAATACACACACACATTATCTATCTACATTTATCTTCAGCCTTTTATCTTTATTTTTCTTGTAGGAATTTTAGGTCTTTATCCATAGGGGGCAGTCATATTCCTGGATCAGAGTTGGCTTCATCTAAAGGCATGAATTGCAGCACAAGTAGTTCATATCCCAGTGTATTGGCACCTCTTTTTACCAAACTCTCTTTATTACCGAGTGCCTAAGAATGTGGTATGACCCTTCGGGCACGAATCCCCACACCAGGGAGAGCCTTTGGATGCCTGATAGTAGTCATGCTGGTTGTGTCTTAAGCATAATCATGTCCATTTGCACAGAACACTACACTTGCTTCCTCCATGGGAAAAGGTGTGTACTTTGTCTAGCTTATGGATTGTGTAACAATAGTGATTGCATGACAGACTTGAGTTGTGGAAGGTTTTTCATGCTGCTGCTGCTACAGCAGAAAATATATTATTAAATAATGAAAAATCCCTGGTGTGGAGAGGTTGAAAAGGGTCTTGCTACACTATAAGTTGCTTGGTAGGATCGTGCCCCTGAAGAGACTCCTACGACTTGTCAGCTCATTAGGCCTCCTTAATTACTTCTTATATTCCTAAACTCCTCTTCATCCTATTACAGTAGTTGGGACTCCCACTTATCTATGGCTTGTCTTCATCAGCTGAAATCTTTTTTCTCGTGTAATTTGTCTGGTACACCATTCATTCTCAATGGTCAGCCTTCCACCCTAATTACTGGACTGGTGCCCAATGACCTTTTCCTATTCTTTTGGTTCAAATTTGTGTTGAAGGGAATTTAATTCTCTTATCAGGATGCATATATGATACATGCCATGACACAGGAGTTAGAATCCATGTCTCATATTATCATTAGCAAAGGTCATTTCTCATGGTATATTATCACAGCAGTGATTGTATTCAGAATGATCATTGGCTATTATTTGCTGTGGTAGTAGGCTGATTATTGGGACAGACTCAAGCTAGAATTGGTTATCAGTGCCAGTTTTATGTAGTTCCATTGGTAGTCTTTTCCATAATTCTGCACCAATAAAAAAAAATATTTTATTGTAATGGTAAGAAAAGAATGAAAGCTGGCCTTTCAAGTTTCATTTGAAGATAATCACAAACAAGTGCCTTGGAAGTGTTAAATGCTCATTTAAATGGAAATGCCATATTTTGAAATGTTAGAATTGCTATTACTTTATGTAAAGAGTACTGAGTATCACATGTATGAGAATAATTGAGCCTCCTGTATGAGCTGTTACTATGAGTCAGCAGGTATGTTTAGATGCATGGGTAGGGCCTCATTAGACACAGGATTGCTATTGATATGTGGGGGAAATGAAAATATATCTTTTCACTATGAGGTGGAGTCATTTGAAACCTGATTTCCTCTGACCACTTCCAAAGTTCTTATTTTGGTATATGTACAGGGGACATCTAGAAATATTAGCATTGGATAATTTGGGTGAAGGCTTTTGTTTGCTTGGTTTGCTGTTGCATAATGCATGTGTCCTTCAGAGAGAAAGACGTGAGAGGAAGCAATACACTGATGACTGGAATGTCCCTGAAGAGGAGCTTGAGGGGAAACGGAATTTCCATCTCGAAGACAAACTCTCTGATGAGAAATATAGCCATCAACTTGTCAAGCATATATCTGGGCATGGTCAGTGAACTCTACTAATGCATAAGTTCTCTGTATGAGTATAAAGTATTTGACTATGACCTTGAACTTCTTTTTTAATACAGAATTTGGGTTGGCCTATATGCAGCAGAATGGCTTCAAGGAGCCTATCCTTGTCAAAGAGAAGGCAGGACTTGGGCTGAAAGTACCTGATGCCTCTTTTACAATAGATGATGTCCGAGCAAGTGTGGGTATGTCCTGTTTTTTTTTTTTCTTCTTTTTACCTTAGGAAGTTAACAATGACAAGAGTGGCATGATACCCCAGAAAGAATTATTTTCACATCTGTGCCTCGATATAGGAAGAAGTAAGCCTACTTGGACTTATTTCCTGTGACCTTCTTTGACCCTTCAGGATCTCGGCGAAATCTGGATGTCATGGATGTGTTAACCCAGAAGAATATGGAGATGTCGATGAAGGAGTTTCAGCTCTACTGGGAGAACCCAAATAAAGACAAACTCTTGAATGTGATCAGTTTAGAGTTTTCTCACACCCGCCTTGAACACTATGTGGAGGCCCCTTTAGTGGTGTGTTTCATTGTACTCAGCATTCTTGCTTGAAGTCTTGAAATAATACTGCCTAATTTATCACTCAAGGTTGCATAGGAAGCAAATCATATTTTATGTGGCTATTGAATCTTGTTTTAGGTCAGACAGATTGACTGGGTTGACAATGTCTGGCCACAGCATTTGAAGGAGTTACAAACAGAGTCTACCAATGTCCTGGAGGATATGATGTACCCTAAGGTGCAGAAGTATGTACTTATGTCTGTGAAAGGGTGCTACACAGACTTTCACATTGACTTTGGAGGCACTTCTGTTTGGTATCATGTTCTCAAAGGTAGAAAGGTAGGACTGAAGTCTTTGCTATGTTTTGCAAATTTAGATATGAGCCTTAATTACTTGTATCGATGTATATCTTTTTGCTACAGGTATTTTGGCTGATTCCACCAACATCCCGAAACCTGGAACTTTATGAACAGTGGGTGTTGTCAGGAAAGCAAGGGGACATATTTTTTGGAGACACCGTTGAAAAGTGCTCACGGGTGGTGCTGGAAGCTGGCAATACATTTTTCATCCCAACTGGTTGGATCCATGCTGTGTATACACCAGAGGATTCACTTGTGTTTGGTGGAAACTTTTTGCATAGCTTTAGCATACAGAAACAGTTACAGATTGCTCAAGTGGAGGACACAACCCATGTACCACAAAAATTTCGATATCCATTTTTTACTGAGATGTTGTGGTATGTGTTGGACCGTTACGTGGCTTGCCTGCTTGGTAGATCACACCTTGCATTGCCAAAGGAGAAAGAGAAGGATGAGAATGATGTAAAAACAGAACCTCAAGAAACACTTGTCAAAAAGGAGCACCAGCATCTCACACAAATGGAACTCCATGGCCTCAAGAGTATAGTGATTTATTTGCATTCATTGGCTAGGACCAAAAAGTGTGTTCCTGAGCTAGTGACTGATCCTGTGGCATTAATTAAAGACATGAAGGAACTTGTTGAGCAGCACAAGGATGATCAGCCGGATCTTGCAGTGACAGGAAAACCTATCATCTCTTGGCCCAGGGAGTCAAAGGTCAAGGTGATTTGCAAGTTTTAACTCATCTTTTCAAAGTGAACTTTAGTTGTGTTGATAAAGATTACTTTCCTAATGCTATATGAGATATAACATTAAGGTTTTGCAATTGTCTAAGGTACACTTTTCTCAGACGTTGGAACCATGTTATTTTGCATAGTTCTGTGATTGTAGTTCATCACATCTTAAGCATATTGCTCTAGTTACATTTCCTTTTTTTTCTTTCAGTTGATTATTGAGAATTAGTTAGCCCCTTCCTGTTATTTTGGAGATGTAAATTTGGTGAAAATTCATTGTCTAGATGTATTTACCAACTGGAAAATGTGAGATGTGAAGTAGCTGTTTTTCCTTTATAGAGAAAGCCTATTCTACGAAAGTATGGAATGAATGGAAGCAAGAGTAGGGAAGTGAAGAAGGCCAGTAGAAGTGATAGAAGGAGAAGAGTACGCTGCAAGAGATGCATAGCCTGTACCCGAAATGACTGTGGAAAATGCATCTTCTGCCGCGACATGGTCAAATTTGGTGGCCCTGGTCGCATGAAGCAGTCCTGCCTAGAACGACAGTGCCGCCAGGTAAGACGAGTCAGTTTGTGAGTGCTCAGTACTGGCTACAATGATACTGGAACTATTTGAGTTCACTTTGACTTTTCTTGCAGCCCCAGTTGCCTGTGACTTCAGTATGTTCAAAGTGTGAAGTGAATGGCTACCAGGGTCTTGCTCCAGACCCTGAAATGCCATCTGATCTCATGGAGTGTTCTATCTGCTACAAAATTCTTCACCCCAAATGTGCCAAAGTAGAAGTGAGTATTACAAGCTTTCTGTTTGGCGTTCTGGTTGATAGTGATCTATATTGATATTTCTCAGGTCATTGGTGGTCTTCACACCAGATTATTCAGTCTGTCTTTTTCTTAATGAATTGAAGGTGGCTTTCTGACACCTGCCTCATTTCATGAGGCAGGTGTCAGAAAGTCCTCCCTTTCCCTCTCCCCCCCCCCTTGCTTGCAGTCCTGCCTGCTTCAGTGAATGTAGGAGAATTTCTATGGGAAATCCTGGTTTCAGTTTCTGGTTGTGGGAAATCCTGTGGTTTGCAGAGTTGAAGTCCGTCACACCTTCACGTTCAGAACTGTTTATGGCAAGGATCCTTGCCATCTATGAGAAAAGAGCTCCTGTTCACTTCTGACTTGTTGAAAAATTGTTTCAACATTTTATTTTAAAATTTGAAATGCATGTAATAAAACTAGAAATATCAAGCTTTTGTTTGCTGCAAACTACATACGAGGGATTACTCAAAAGTTCTGCCAGTAGCCCACAAGTCGTCATCAGAGGCGGCCGCAAAGTGCTGGACCAGTTCGGGAAACTTATTTTTTTATATTAAAAAAAGGTTTTTCACCTGGTTGGATCCATCGCATGAAAAAATACATTGAATTCGGTGGGGAGTATGTGGAAAAAGTGTGAAATAGTTGCCTGTGGCAATAAAGATCAGAATTTAATCATGGAACGCTATTTTTTATTTCTTTGGGGCTACTGGCAGAACTTTTGAGAAATCCCTCGTATATCATCCATTCATGATTTATTAAAGATTAAAATTGTATGAATCTTTTGTGAACACCCTGTATTACTGGTTGCTCATCAGGGCAGAAATATCTGCCATCTCTGGACTCAAATCTTGCGCATCCTGTGAAAAATTAATTTTATTGGTTCTTTCACGTTGAGACATTAACCCTTTTACCAGTATTGCCATTTGTGTCTCCTGGTGCCCAGGAGACATTATATGCTTCCTCCAATAATGCCTCCAAGAGGAGGTTGGAGATTCAAATTTCCATCTGCTAATGAGAGGGTGGGCCAAAAAAAAACCACCCCAAATTTGAAGCTTAATAACTGGGCCAATTTTTTAAAAAGCAAAATGAAGTTTGTTCAATTTTCTTCCAAATGATACATACTTTTTTGGGTTTGCTTCAGAGAAATGGTCGTGATGACAGTTTTAAAAAAGTAATGAAAAAATTTCCTGAAAACAGCTTTTCTGAGTTCTTTCCAATGTTGCGCTGTTGCTGTCGCCTGTTTCTCCCATACACCCCCTTCTCCCACACACCCCTGCATGATAGGGATTGGTTGACGAGACATCATGCGATCATGAGGCGAGTAACATGATGAAATCCTGGGCAGTAATGGGTTCTATTGATTCAGAGATCTTGAGCTAACTGAATCTTATTGATGTTGCAGCTGCTATGTCATTTCATTTGCTGACTTTGCTCAACCATTGAGTATGAATTTTAACCCCCTCAAATTGTTGCTTTAAACCTCTCAGGATTAAAAATTTATCAGCATAGGCTTAAGTGAGAGTGATAAGTGCATGACCCAGGCGCTACGTGAAGAAAAAGGCTACTCGGGCAGAATTCTTGCTGAATTCACAGATCAGCAGTGGAAGAAATCAACTGTTAGGGACTTCCTCAGAAAGTTACGTGATCATGGAAGTGGAAAAGGAACTTGGAATTTGCAGGAAATTTTTTCGTCACTTTAAAAAAAAGTGTAATAGCAGCTATTTCTCTGAAGAAAACCCCCAAAACTTATATATCATTCGAAAGAGAATTGAAGAAGCTTCATTTTGTTTTTTTTTTTAAATTGATATTGGCCCAATGGGGCCCAAGTTATTAACCTTCAAATTTATGGTATTTTTTTTTGCCCTGTATATGGTAAGGTAAGCAATTTCATCAAAGTAAGTTGCTATAAGATCAGAAATTTGCAAACACTAGTGTACTAATCTATAGCATACTACCTAATTGCTTTATTGTGTGCTACTCATTTGTGACCTTAGACATTCCATGTAGCCTATGTAATAGTGTATTTTGATTAATGCCATCAAGATACTCTGCTTCTTCACCCTAAACATTGACTCATTTCCTGGTCAATAGTGGTACATATTGGAGCAGTTACTTGTTTCCACCTAGGCCAGCTGAAATTGCCTAAACTCATGAGCAGAAATAGAATAAGTTCCACTGACCAGAACAGTGGAATGCATATGCAAATTATCTCCCACAAACATAATTGCCACATGAGGCACCACTCTTTCGTTGTTAGTAATGCACTGCTCGTAAATAAGTTTTCCTCCTGTGGAGTACAACTCACCTGTACCTGTACCTCAATACTTATGCATTAATACATGAATGCCATTAAGGATGTTACCACAATGAATATGTGAAAAATACATGTGTTGTTGCAACCTGTGGATCCCAGGATTAGAACAGCAGCAGCAGCATATGTTCTTGGATACTAATAAAATCTTTCCATTTATATTGCATTTATTATTTATTTTGTTTATTTACTTTTGCACTATTTAGATGCCTGATGTTGATGGCATCACAAATGAGGATCTCCCAAACAGCTGGGAATGTCCGCATTGTGTGAAAGAAGGCCTCCACATCAATGCCAAGGTGAGTTACCCCATTCTTGCAGTGGTCAGAAGTGATTCCTTTCCCCTTCACATGTTTCAGCAAGACTCTCTTCTTTTAGCCACGGCACTTCAAAGCGAGAGAGAAGCGACAGAAAAATGAATTGAAGACCAAGACCAATATAAATGGTGAAGGACATCCCACTCCTGAGATCAAGATAGAAGACATGGAAGAGATGGCAAATGAGAAGGAAAGGGAAGAAGATGAAGAGGGTGATGAAGAACCTGAAGAGGAGGAAGGAGAAGAAGTTGATGATGATGATGATGACATGGAAGAGGAGGAGGAAGAAGTAGAAGTAGATGAAGAAGAAGATGAAGAAGATGGTGATGATGAAGATGAAGGTGATGATGATGAAGAAGAGGAAGATCCTGAAGATAAAGCAAAAGGGGTGAATGCCTGATATTTTTGTCTTATGTGAACTCTTTTCTTTTGTATTAAGGCAGAAATTACTGTAGGTTTTGTCAAATAATTTTTCCTACATGCAATATCTTCTGTAACACAATAGTAAAAACAGTATTGTTCGAGCAAAAAGTTTTGGTATCCCCCCAATCCCCCAAGAAAAGAACCCCAGGAGTGTCATATCCAATTATTGTATTTTCCGAGTTCAAGATTCCTTGAGTGGACGATTTTAATTGCGTATAAAATTCTTCCTATTTGAGCAAACTAAACTAAATTTTCACAGCATTTAGACAACTGTTTAGCATTTATTGTGATGAAGTTTCAGCGAAATTAAGTGCACCAATTACAAGCTATGAACTTCAGCGTAGCCCCCATCGATTTCAGCACTTTTCCCAATCATTTGTGGTATTCAGCGTTTTCTCGCACATTTCAGCAGTAATATCTACAAACGCAGCGGTAATTTGTTCCTTCAGTTTGGGAATTTCCCTCTGTTTGGTTGCGTAGACTTTCGACATGACAAAGCCCCACATGAAGAAATTGCACAGCGTTAAGTCAGGAGAATTGGCCAGCCAGCGCATAGCTGGCAATCCATGACCCATCCTTTGATCCGAAAACTTTTTTCAGCCAGGCACGAACTTCTTTGCCAAAATGAGGTGGGGCAGGTCGGACTTGACGCCGTGTGACTTCTTCATGTAGGGCTTTGTCAAGTCAAAAGTCTACTCGATCAAACCGAGGGAAATTCCCGAACTGAAGGAACAAATTACCGCTGCGTTTGTAGACATTACTGTTGAAATGCGCGAGAAAAAGCTGTTTGAATACTGCGAACGATTGGGAAAAGTGCTTGAAATCGATGGGGGCCACATTGAAGTTCATAGCTCATAATCAGTGGATTTGATTTGGCTGAGATTTTGTCACAACAAATGCTAAACAGTTGTCTAAATGTTGTGAAAATTTTGTTTAGTTTGCTCAAATAGGAAGAATTTTATACACGATTAAAATCGTCCGCAATAAGTGGGACACCCTGTACACACATCTCAAATTTCAGCTTTCTTTATCTGCCCATTTCACTAAAGTAAAAACATTTCAAGATATACAGACATGCAAGAAAATATGCCCCTAGGGGATGCACCTTAAAAGCAGGATTTTTCTTGATATCACCTTTCCAATAGCTACTTGTTCACCAAGTTTCACTTTTTTGCTGGAGAGAAAGAATGGAATGGAATACATCCCCTAAAAGAATGTGACTCCAGGAGATATACTGCTAAAATGTAATTTTTTTTCTAAAAATCAGTGCTCAAAGAAATGCTTTCCTACTTGAATTCACCTTTCTTTTTCATACCATTTTGTTGGAGCAAGAAAAGTTTGAGGAATAGCATTATCTCCCTTAGTTGTACCCCCATGGAGTGTACTTAGGAAATAGGATTTTTTTTTCTAATTCAGCACCTGAACAGCTACTTTTCTATTAAGTTTTAACTTCCTATATTTTGTCTTCCTTTTGGTTTAATTTTTTCAATTAACTCTGATGTTATTTGATCAAGTAAATTATTGGGATTTAATGTGGCAAGGCAACTTTCATAAGAAAATATCTTTGATGTAGCTTCCCTCAATGAAGTTTGAAGGGACTCAGTCCAGGTTCAGTGTTCATGAAGACAAATAGCTCCCCAGTCTTTGGATAAGTTGGTGCTGTGCCATTGACTGACTAGCACATAGCCCTGACTTGACCCCATGTGATTTTATATTGTGGATCTGTTTGCAAAGAGAAGTGCATGGTCATTGACCAAAAGCTTGAGAAGAACTTGAGAGTACCATCCACTGGGAAGTTCATGGTATTCTGTGTCAGATGCTCCTTGCTGCATGTGAAAAATTCAAGCCAAGGATAAATTTGCATCATTTAAGAGAGCTGCATGCAAACTCACTGGTTGCTTTGGCACTCCATTATCCAGGATATTGATTCATTTCATTCATTAATTCATATTTAAAGTGGCAAAAACTTATTTAAAGTATGTCCCTGTCGAAATATGTGCCATGAAGGGAGTTAACCAATATGAGATTAAATTAATTTAATTAGACACTGCATGCCACTCATCATCAGACTTAATAATTATCATTTTTTGCTTCACAGCCTTTGTAATTAGACACTTGCCAGTGAGTGCTTGGCAGTAAATTTAATAAATTTTATTGCATCCAAAATAGAAAGAATGCATTTAGAGATTAGTGTACAGTGAAAACTCATTAACTCAAACTTTTAGGGACCGGGCAAATCGTTTCAAATTATCTGAAGCTCGAGTTATCAGGAATCGCCCCCCCCCCTCCCCCCCCCAAAAAAAATCTCACGTTTAGGGACATAACCAGAGGGCGATTTTTCCACCCTCAAAAGTCCGATTTCATGGAGCAACGACCTTCCCATTATAATAGGCTTTTATTCATCACAAATGAAGCTTTAATACTCCACATGCAAAATTCATTTATTGCAATGCCTTTCACCTGGGGCTCTTGGTTTTATCCTTTTCTGACATGTAATCAGTGATCTTCCTTTGCTTTGTAAAAGAACTTGCAATAGAGAAGTCCTCCAATTTCCCTACTGCCTCGAACAAGTCAACTGGCACCTCCCCTCGCGAGAGGAGGAATTTTCTCACAATCGCCAGTGCATCATTGGCATCACTCAAAGACAGCAGTAGAGCATTGTACGTTGCCTCCTGCTCTCCATCACTCACGTTCCCGGGCTTGCTCTCTTGTGGGCGATCTATGTCGGCAATGATGGATGCCTCAGTGACTGGCTCAGTAACAATGAGGTCATCATCGCAATGAACAAAGTCGTTGAATGACACATCACAGTTCATGATATGAGCCACAGCACTCCAAGAATGCGGATCACATGAGATTTCCATCTCCTCGACTTCCTTTTGAACATCACTTCTGTGCACAAATTCTGTTTTTCTGAAGCAGTTTGCAACAGTGGCCGACTGTAGTATTTCCATGCCAAAAACATGTGAATTGCATCGAGTAGAGTCACACACACTTCTTTCTTTTCATCAATGGCGGAAATGACCTTGAGATTGCGAATCACTCCCATGTCCATAGGTTGAAGTTTGGAGGTCGTGTTTGGGAGAAACATCAAATTCACCTCTGTCAGACCTTGAACGTGTGGATAAGCAGGGCAGTTGTCAACAATCACCAGAATTTTCCTTTTCTGTTTCAGCATCTTATCTTCCAATTGCATCAGCTACTCCGTGAATATTGTTGACGTCATCCAAGCCTTCTTCGATGACTTGTTACGAACAGACAGGGACTTCACATTCTTGAAACATCGTGGCTTTGCGGATTTTCTTATCACCAACAGTGGGAGTTTTTCGGACCCATCCATGTTTGCACCAACGAGGGCTGTGATTCTGTCCTTGCTCTTTTTCCCACCAAGGCAAGGGTCATTTAGAAAAGTTATGGTTTTATCTGGCATCAGCTTAAAAATAAGCCCGTTTCATCAACATTAAACACATCTTCAGGCATGTAGCAACCTAGAACATGCAAGAGTTCTTCCTCGATCCAACTTTCGCATTCCTTCTGTGAAGGCAAGGGTTATGGGGAAAAGTCATGGTTTTGTCTGGCATCAGCTTGAAAAATAAGCCTGTTTCATCAACATTAAACACATCTTCAGGCCTGTAGCAACCTAGAACATGCAAGAGTTCTTCCTCGATCCAACTTTCGCATTCCTTCTGTGGAACATCTGCACTTTCCCCACAAATTCGTCAGAACACGATGCCATGACGATGCTTGAATTGTTCCAGCCAACTAACACTAAAATCAACTCCAAGTTCCTTCTCAAGTTGATCAGCTTTTTCTCTCATCAGTGTTCTGGACACCGGAGTGGTGCTGTCACGAACTTCACGAAACCATCTCAGGAGAGAGCCGCTTCCACGTTCTCATGTGCACTCAAAACCTTATCTTTGCTGCATATAATGGTAGAGAGTGTAGAGGGAGGAATCCCGAAATTCTCTGCAATGTCTTTCTTCTTCAGCTGGCCTTCTTCGACAGTCCGAATCAAGTGCACCTTCTCTTCAACTTTTTATTTTTTTTTTTTGGGGGGGGGGGGGGGGGCGATTCCTGATAACTCGAACTTCGGATAACTCGAAACGATTTGCCCGGTCCCGTTCGAGTTAACGAGTTTTCACTGTATATGGACGATCGTGAGTAGCTTACTGACATAAGTAGCAATTCGCAAACTGAGTTATGAAAAAGGTCTAATTTGGTGATGCATGCCATAGGAGCACACCTTTTGGGAACATATTTCCCAATACTCCGTAGTTATCCTCTCTTCAAACGGAGACACATGAAAAGGTGAACTTGGCAAGAACGTGACCGTTGACTCGCGGAGCTCAAATGCCGAACGTCAAATTTCCAAAATATTTTTCATATCCTATAGAATCGGGGGGAAATAGTAAAGTACCTGGCGAACGCATAACGGTCGTGATGTTGATTCAAGGAAAAATCCAACTTTTTTGTGCGTCTCCTCAGCTCCACAGCTTTTGGGTGGGTCGCTTTTCTAAATACATGCTTGCAAATAGGGGAAACATGTAAGGCCGGAACTGGGTGGCATGGAGTTCCTTCAGTCTACATAATAAAAGAAAAAAAGATTCATTAAAACCCATCAGGGCCCTTTTTTTTAGTCCCATTTTCCTGAATTTTTATTGATCCAACAACACAGAGACAGAAAGATTTAAACTTCCCTCAGAAGAATCTGTTTAAGGGCTGAGCACAGGAAAAATCCTACTTTTGAAATATGTCTCCTTAGATTATTGGAGGGAAGTATTTCAAAATGTATTTTTCACCCTTACCAAAAGGGACACAAGAAAAGATTTAAAGTTATGCACACAGAATCATAGAACTAATGATTTTGATAAAAATCAAGACTTTCGTTCCCATATGTCACGTATTTCAACGGGGACGTTATTTAAATACGTGTTTCCCATTTCGCAAAGAATAAATGAGGAATCCAAGGTAATGGAGCGCCGAAGGGGCGACCATAGCGAGTTTATTTGCCCAAAGTACAAACAAACTCGCAAGTATATATATATATAAATATATATATATATATGGGTAAGGTAAGGCAAGGCAAAAAGGTTGGCTTAATTAGCGAATACCCAAATGGGCAATGAAAACCGCTCTCATTTGAGGCTTGCACATAGATTGAATTCAAGTAAAACAGTGACGCCTTCCCTAGCAATAGCCACCCAAGGCAACAGGCTATGACCGGCTTCTAGCCCTGAGAAAGAGGGCATATAACGAATAATCTATGAAGAGTCAAGAGTCAAGATAGAGACATCAAGAGGCGATTTTTCCGCCCGCAAAAGTCCGATTTCACGGAGCGACTACCTTCCCATTATAATAGGCTTTTATTTATCATAAATGAAATTTTAATACTCTACATGCAAAATTCATTTCTTGCAACGCCTTTCTCCTGGGCCTCTCTTGGTTTCTGACATGTAATCAGTGATCTTCATTTGCTTTGTAAAATAATTTTTAATTGAGAATTGGAAGTCCTCCAATTTCCCTACTGCCTGGAACAAGTCGACTGGCATCTCCCCTCGCGAGAGGAGGAATTTTCTCACCATCGCCAGTGCATCATTGGCATCACTCAAAGACGGCGGTAGAGCATTGTACGTTGCCTCCTGCTCTCCATCACTCTCATCCCCGGGCTCGCTCTCTTGTGAGCAATCTTTGATGCCGGAAATGATGGATGCCTCAGTGATTGGCTCAGTAACAATGAGGTCATCATCGCAATTTACAAAGTCGTTGAATGACACATCATTACACATGCCAAAACAGCATGTGAATTGCATCGAGTAGAGTCGCACACACTTCTTTCTTTTCATCAATGGCGGAAATGATGTCTTGGATGAGTCGCTTCCTGTAGTGCACCTTGAGATTGCGAATCACTCCCATGTCCGTAGGTTGAAGTTTGGAGGTCGTGTTTGGAGGGAGAAACATCAAATTCACTGCTGTCAGACCTTGAACGTGTGGATGAGCAGGGCAGTTGTCAACAATCACCAGAATTTTCCTTTTCTGTTTCAGCATCTTATCTTCCAATTGCATCAGCCACTATTCCTGTAGTGCACCTTGAGATTGCGAATCACTCCCATGTCCATAGGTTGAAGTTTGGAGGTCGTGTTTGGAGGGAGAAACATAAAATTCACTGCTGTCAGACCTTGAACGTGTGGATGAGCTGGGCAGTTGTCAATAATCACCAGAATTTTCCTTTTATGTTTCAGCATCTTATCTTCCAATTGCATCAGCCACTCCGTGAATATTGTTGACTCGTGAATATGATGTCATCCAAGCCTTATTCGATGACTTGTATAAAACAGGCAGGGACTTCACATTCTTGAAACATCGTGGCTTTGCGGATTTTCCTTATCACCAACAGTGGGAGTTTTTCGGACCCATCCATGTTTGCACCAATAAGGACTGTGATTCTGTCCTTGCTCTTTTTCCCACCAAGGCAAGGGTCATGGAGAAAAGTCATGGTTTTGTCTAGCATCAGCTTGAAAAATAAGCCTATTTCATCAATATTAAACACATCTTCAGGCCTGTAGCAACCTAGAACATGCAAGAGTTCTTCCTCGATCCAACTTTCGCATTCCTTCTTTGGAACATCTGCACTTTCCCCACAAATTCGTCGGAACATGATGCCATGACGGTGCTTGAATCGTTCCAGCCAACCAACACTTGCACTAAAGTCAACTCCAAGTTCCTTTCCAAGTTGATCAGCTTTTTCTCTCATCAATGTTCCGGACACGGGAGTGGTGCTGTCACGAACTTCACAAAACCATCTCAGGAAAGCCGCTTCCACGTCCTCATGCTTGGCTGTCTTCATCTTCTTGCAACTTGCTGTAAATAGGCGCTTCTCATGTGCACTAGATCCAACTTTCGCATTCCTTCTGTGGAACATCTGCACTTTCCCCACAAATTCGTCGGAACACGATGCCATGACGGTGCTTGAATCGTTCCAGCCAACCAACATTTGCACTAAAATCAACTCCAAGTTCCTTTCCAAGTTGATCCGCTTTTTCTCTCATCAGTGTTCCGGACACGAGGTGGTGCTGTCACGAACTTCAGGAAACCATCTCAGAAGAGCCGCTTCCACGTCCTCATGCTTGGCTGTCTTCAACTTCTTGCAACTTGCTGTAAATAAGCGCTTCTCATGTGCACTCAAAACCTTATCTTTGCTGCGTGTAATGGTAGAGAGTGTAGAGGGAGGAATCCCGAAATTCTCTGTGATATCTTTCTTCTTCAGCCGGCCTTCTTTGACAGTCCGAATCAAGTGCACCTTCTCTTCGAGCGTCAGTCTTCAATTTCCTCTTGAGTGAACTCATTCCACACAAATGGCGTAGAGGAAGTAGAATATGACTAGAATGGCTCGGAGTGAGAGCGATAAATAGACAGAGCGAATTCTGGAAGTTGCTTTTTATAGCCGAAGCTTTTCGGTACTGCGATGTCTTTCTTCTTCAGCTGGCCTTCTTCGACAGTCCGAATCAAGTGCACCTTCCCTTCGAGCGTCAGAGTCTTCTATTTCCTCTTGAATGAACTCATTCCACACAAATGGCGTAAAGGAAGTAGAATATGACTAGAATGGCTTGGAGTGAGAGCGATAAATAGACAGAGCGAATGTTGGAGGTTGCTTTTTTATAGCCGAAGCTTTTCGGTTTTAATCCTCTTCACAGGCGTCTGCGTGGGAGGAGGGGGAAGCAGAAAAAAAAAACAAAAGAAACAAAAGAACATCCTCCCGAATGGGTTTCTTGTCATTCATCCTATTCAAAGATCTAAAAGTCCCATGAGAAGAATTTTTTCCCCCTTCACACCCTGAATTTGAGTTAACCATGAGAAAATCATTATCGGGAGTGAAAATGTCATTTGAGATAAGCGAATTCGAGTTAAATGGAGCATTTAACATGGTGTCCTACAGGGTTCCGCTGGGACAAAGCATTCAAGTTCGAGATAAGCGGAATTTCTACTTATCACGATTCGAGTTAAAAGAGTTTTCACTGTATTTATAATTGTAATTCAGCATTATGTGATAAAAAAAGTTCAATCCACCAAAGCACAGTTTAGTTTTAACTGATCCATGATGTAAGTTTTTGAATAGTCTTGCATGATTTTTTAAGGAGCAATGGGGAAATTGGGGACAGCTCCATAATTGATAACATCTTGATGATAACATCAGTGGTCTGCTTAGACTGAACTGTAGCTAAAATGAAAGCCATTGCAGAGAGGTTTCAGAATCTTTTTCATTTTTGGCACTTTTTTTTTTGAGAAAATACTAAACTTCATAAATTCAGACTTGGGGCAGGTTTTCCCCATGTAGAATATGGAGGTGCAACTTCAACTTATTTGGAATTTTCTTTCAAGTTGAAACAGATTTAGCCTCTTCAGGGAGGTATTTTTTACACTGAAAAAATAATAAAAAGATATTATACATGTTAATATTTATATTCCCATCATGAAAATGCTGGGGGACAGTGGTACTAGCTGCAATGAAAACTCCCAACAAAATGCCAACATCTCTGGCATCTCAGAGGGTGAAGATTAGTTTTTGACCCATTTAAAATACATTGGACCAAACGTCCACATTTGTGCCAGTATCCTTGAAGAGGTTAAGCATGAGGTCTGTGAAATATCTATTATCCTTTTGGGGTACCTTTTGGGGTCCACACCTGAGTTATCTTGTGTTGGCTTCATGATGAAGGATAGAAAAACTTTGATGACAGTGCTTACATATTCAAAATATTCAGACCCCAAAGGATTAAAAAAAAGTCGAAGTTATGGAATACATCCTACATGTGGAAACCAACCCCCAAATCTGACTTTATTGGCAAGTTTTTGCATGGCATTGACATTTTAAAATTTTAATTTCATGCCGAAAAATGAGACATTCTTAAATAATCTCTTCAGTGGCTTTCATTTAAGCTTTAGTTCAGTATAATTGGCCCACTGGTAAAGAGTTATCAATTATAGGGCTGTCCCCAGTTTACCCCTTACCCCTAAATTTTTGGGTGGTCATATCTTGATGACTCTTTGAAGGACTGAGCTAAGATTTTTATTCACACAAGGCAATTTACCCAATTTGAAGTAAATCCTTGAGTTGAGTAGCCACCCTTGTTAAGTTGATATGGGATAACCCCAATGCCTGATTATGGTGTCTACTTATGGCAAGGCTCAGTATGTTCAGCCAATGTCTCAACCAAATATTGCTCAAAGGAGTATGCCCAATATCGGCCCTTAAACCAATATCAAAGATATGTGCATATTTCGAGAGGTTGTCCCCAGCCTAACCTAAAAATGTCATTATTTTTCAAATTTGAACAATTTGAAAAAGTTAGGTTAGGTTAAGTTAAGATAGGTTAGCCCATTTATAACCTTAAACCAAATTGAATGAAATTAAGATTTATGTAATCATTTTCACTTGTGAACATGAAATGTATAAATTGTATCCAAATGTGAGGGGTTTAAAAAAGTAAGGTTAGGTTAGGTTAAATTATTTTACTGTTTTTGAATGGGACTTCCAATAAATGCCTTCTGCATTGCCAACAGCTTAGAATGAACATAGTTTTGGAAATAATCGGTGAACTTTAGCTGGAAAGTGGAAAATCTCATTTAAAAAATGTTTTAATGTATGATTCATTATATAAAAGTTAATGACTCGTAGATACATTGTAAGATTTTACAAAATGTAATTCAATTGTATTTTAATTGATTTTTCCTTGATATTCTGCATTTCCCTTCTATCAAACTGCTGAAAGTATTGTTATGATGGAAAACTCATTCAAAATAATTTAATCATAACCTAACCTAACCAAACCTAACCTAACCTAACTTTTTCAAACCATTCAGATTGGAGTAAAAGTGGCATTTTATTACGCTGCAAAGGACATCCTTTCAAATGATATGTGATTCATTGAATTCGGTTTAAGGGCCAAAATAACATTATATTGGACATCCTCCTTTCTGACAAAGAATCTATAATAAAAAAAAAAGTCAGATTGGGAAATTTAAATTTATCTTGAAGGTATATTTCAAAATGCAAAAATGTCTAAATCAGGCTCTGGTAGCTTGCATGAAAGGTGAGCATGTATAGCCAAAGCCAGAATGTAGTCCAAGTGAGGGGATATCTTAAATTTCAGAAATAGGGCAAACCTTTTTTGGTAATTGGCTGCAGAATCATTGCCAATTTTTACCTTTACCCTGTGCTTGAGATGGCAAAATTTTCATTCCCTATCCATTATAATAAAACTGCCTTATCCTGAAGCATGAAAAAAGGCTTACATTGTAGCATTGTGATGCTCATAAATGTAACTCAATGTTGATTCTTTCATGCATTGCAGAAGTCAGCCAAGAAGCGCAGTAGAGGATCACCATCAGATCTGAGTGAAAACGGTTCCTCTCGAAGGCTGAAACGAGCTCGCCCAGCTGACTAAGATATCTTCTTTATCTTATTTATCTTTGCAAGTACAAAGACTCTCTGGCCACATCTCCATTCATCACCCCTGGTGCCAGGACTCCTTAGGTATCTCCAGTGCCCTCTGCAGGTTTGCTGATTTCTTTCTGACTTGGTTTATAGATCAAAGGCCTTTTTGCCAATGTGACAACCAGTCCCTCCCAATCATGTTTCTTGTTTCATCATGATGTGTCATTTTGAAAAGCAGTGGAAGGATAAATAGCAGTCATTGTTAAGATACAATTGTTTTCTCCTCTGTGCACCCAGAATATATTTGTAGTTTTTTTTTTACTGTTCTGCAAGAAGATGCCATATCAAACTTGAGTCACATCCTATATCACAAGTGGATGTTATGTCTACTTGATTTTTGCTTGCAAGTGTAGTGAAGGAAAAACCATCCATTTGTTTATGTTCCTGATTAAAAAGCAATATTTCATTCATCATTCTTGTTGGGGCTGAAGTAGACATACATGGTACGTACATGGTACATACATTCATGATACATGGTCATGGATGTGACCCAAGCTTGCAATAATTCTATCTTGTTATTCACAATGAACCCATTCTGGAAATGCAACTAAGACATTTGGCAGTAGTTAGACATACCAAAAAATGAAAGACTTGATGTCTTTGTTTATTCATTTCTTGAATTTCTCATTCCCATCCAAACTGGAAAATACAGTCTTGCTCTTTGAGAAGTTTGTTGAAAATATTTCAGAATGGGAAGAATTTGAATTCCAGGCTCTAATTTGCAGCTGTGTATTTCCTGAATGACACACAGGACCCATATACAACATACCTCTTTGTCTCCATTCTCAGTTCAGAGCAGCATTTTGTGTTCATTCTGTTTTTTCCTTTTCACAATGAAGAAATATTTTTTTCCCTTGTCATTTCAGTTATAACTCATGTACACTGTGATTTTGTACTGTTCTTTCTCTCTTTTCTTGAGATGTTTCTCATGAGCCATCTTGAAGGATTCTGTCTGAAGTTTGAAAACTGGAGAGTAATATCTGCAAATCAATACAGGATTTTCAATCCTTTGATGCATTCATTTCATATATAGACATGCACAGGGGCCATTATTGCAATACTCTTGAACAGTTCACTCTGGACTTACTTTGCAGAAAATATTCACTCAGAAGATTGATTAGCATGATATTGAATTTATACTGCAATCCTTGGAATGGGTCCCTAGTAAGGTTGTAGCCTTAGTTCCAGTTGATATAAAGACTGCACAAACTTGATTGTTTTACTCTGTTTTGCTTAATGCCTATCAACCCAGTGAAAGCTTGGGTGATCTCATTTTGAGATCGAAATGGAGGTAATAATGCTGAAATTTAGAGTAAGATACCTGTGTTCCTTGTGAGGTAGCTCTTGAGACAAATTTCATCTGATGTGCAATGATTTGATAAGTTTCTCCTTTCGTGCGGATAGTTACTCCAGGTAATGGATTGAGAAGATGAAATCTCAAAAGAGGTTACATGATCACCATTCCATGGCTGGCCTTTCCCTTGGACATGCACGTCGTCATGCTCATCGTCGCATCCTCCATCGGCGTCTCCCACCAAATGCAATTCACAAGCATATGAGACCAAAGCCTAGGATTCGACCCCAGACAGTCAAGTTGGAGAAACATGACATTTCCACCAAGGTGGAAGAGCCAGTGGAGGAGCTTAGAAATGGTTCATGTATCGAGGAGGAACTGGAGAATGATGCCTATGACTGTGATGAGGACAATGACAATGATCAGTCTGATAATGCTTTGGAATTTCCAGTGCCCTCAGTATGGCGTAAGGATCTCAAAAGGCCATTGTATGTTGTTAGGCCTGCTTCACTTGAAGATGATGAAAATGAGCTGGTGTTGAACCGAACAGCCATGGTATGTGTGTTTCAGTATCTCAAGAGACCAGAACTTGCTGTGTGCATGCAGGTATGTCGTGACTGGAATCGGTGGTGTTTGGACCCCAAGCTCTGGTATTCCATGGACCTGTCTCAGCAGAAAATTACCCAACACACCCTTCAAGGCATTGTACGGTGTCAGCCAACTCGTCTTGATCTAAGCTGGTCCTTCATCACTGGAAATCAGTTGAGATGGCTCTTACCCCGTCTTCCTCAACTCAAGGAACTTCAGCTGGTGGGACTTCCATGGAACACTGTGAAGTCCATTGTGACTGCAAGCTGTCCTGTGTTGAGTTCATTGAATGTTTCATATGTTGGTGGACTTGGTGACATCCAATTTGCCAAAATGCTTTCTCAACCTCCAGATTCTCGACCAGGTATGGTGGACTTCTCTACTCGTCTGCGGCATTTGGTTGAGATACGGTTGGCTGGCTGTGACATTTCAGATTCAAGTCTTGAGGTTCTGGCATCAAATCTGTCATCTCTGGCAAAAGTAGACATAAGCTGCTGCACAAAGATTGGGGATGCTGGCATTAGCCGAATGGTATCAGGAGGATTGCGAGACCGTTTGGTCTATTGTGATGCTCAGAAATGTCCTCGAGTTACTGACAAGGTACTGACTGCCCTCAGTAGCTGTCCTAATCTTGTTCATCTTGACCTCCGTCACTGTGAATGTGTCTCATCACATTCACTGAAGCTATTTGCAGCTGACAGAGATGGGGTGAATGTGGATGGAAAGCTTGTGACCCATGCCAAGCACTCACATTGCCAACGCATTCCTAGTAAAATAAGGAAGTGAATACCTGAAATATAGCATTTGTGATTCACATCTATATAAGTGGAAATTTAACTGCTCTTGTTCATTATGTATTTCCCATTTCAGATTCATTGGTGATGGTTAGATTTAATGGGTTTAGCAGTGTATCTGATCTGATTTGATGTTTACATTCTGAGGTCAAGATTGGATTTCTGAAGATAGAAGTAGGAAAAACCAGAATAAGAAAAAACATTATTTGCAAATTTTTTGTTGTAATTTTCCTGGTGCATATCCTGTGACCAAAATATAAAAATCTTCCATTATTGAGGATGGATGCCTTCCTTGTCTTGCGATGGTCCAGAATTGAAGTTACAACCCTCTTGAGTTAGGCCAAGCAAGATGAGCATATTCAAGAGCCAAGTTGCCAAGTAGGGGGCTGGAATGTCTCCAATCATCAAAATTATGATTTTGGACAACTGACATAACATATTTGTGACTTTCTTTGTGGGAAACATGCATTTGGAGGGTTTGAACCTCTAGCATTGTTAACCAAGGCTTTCATCCATTTACATTTGGGTTTGGGTTGCATTTTTGGTCACCTTCACCTTGATCTTATAGCTGGTTTATCATACGATACAGATTTAAAAAACCTCATTCCATTTCTCTAATTGTTGATTTTGATCACATTTGTTAAAATGATGTTCTTTTGTTTTCAGCACACAGCTTGCATCTCTTTGGATGTAGAGCTGGAAAGGTAACTTTCCTGCTGTGAAATAACTGTTCAAAAGGTAGTAGGGCTACTCTGCCTTGACACAGACATATACATTGTTAATTACATTGATGGGGTGAGAAGGAACAGGCCAAGCAGGTCGGATGTTGTCGAGGGCTGGGAATTCCCTTGCTGAAATTTTCTCAGTCCTTGCCAGCATCTGCCTGAATGAAAGGGGACAGGCATCCTTGGGGGTGACTCGAAGTGTGAAAACGTGGCTGTGCTTCGCCAATGACTTCGGTTGATCTGACGTATTTGAATCCCAGGTCAATACCGTTGCTGCATTGGCCCATGCTTGGCCATGTCATGGCTGCATTCATTCACCACTCACACTCTTTTCTCTCTTTCCATGCAATAGAGTATGTGAGTGCGTGACGTGTGTGTATGTGTGCATGTGTGTATGTTTGAGAGTGAGTTGGATATGGATGGAGTGAGTGTGTGTGAGTGGGATATGGATGGATGAATGAATATTTGTGGTATTGTGCATGTACCATCAGATTGTATTCACTCAGTTCCTTCCAGGTTTAGAAAGAGCCATCAGAGAAATGGATAGCATAATGTCATCAGTGGTTGCTGAGGAGGATGAACGTCCTGCATCATCAGATGCATTTTGGGGTGTATCCCCATTTACAACCCCCCCAAAGCGCTTACGGCTGGATTCCATGCCAAATGGATTGGAGGAATTTGAGCTGCAACAGGAGAACGGAGCTGTAGAGGAATCCTTTCAAATGGAAGAGCGTCTTGATGATGCCAGTGCTGAACTTGGCCTCAGCATGGTTTCAGCCATCCCCTCATCTAATGAACGGGTGTTTGATCTACTTGATGAACTCCCTGATGAGGATGATGATGAGGGTGAAGAGGATGATCTTGAGTCAAGCGAGGGGGAAGAGATTTCTCAGGAAGAAATTGATCAGCTACTGGAGAAAGGTTCCACCTCAATGCATACCTGTAAAAACATTATAAGGGCTGGTATTGTGAGGTTCTCAAGGGTTTCTCTTTAGTCCGATTTGTTTCTGCCTAAGCTACTGCCAATAATGAAAAGTTCACAAGCTGCTGTATTTGCTTTTGTACAAAACCATGCTTTCAGATTGCCAGCTGATGTCATTTCATGAGAAGTAACCCTTCCTTCTTAGGAGTGGATGACCAGATGAGGCAAGAGCAGGAGGAGCAGGCAGAGAAGGAGAAAGAACGTATGAAGAACGTGGTAGAACGTGTTAGACTCATTGTGAAAGGTATCTAATTATTTCCTAATATGCCCTGCATTGCTAGAAGTGGTAGAAGTGATAGTGAAGACATACATTCTGTCCCCCTTAGATTACCCAGAGAATCCACTGGAGCTTCTTCCAGCTGGTTGGATCAAGGTGACACATTTCAGTGGAATGCCCATCTATCTTCATAAGCCAACTCGTGTATGTAGCTTCTCGCGCCCCTACTACATTGGCTCAGCATCTGTTCGAGTTAGCACCTCACTTCTTCCTTCTTCTTTTGAGTCCATGATTATTTGGCAGATTTGTGGGACTGACATGCTATGTTTGGTCTCCTTAGTCTGCATTCTTCTCATGATTGTTGTTCAATCCCCAGAAACATCATGTACCTGAGAGTGCAATACCTTGCCTCCACTACCGTAGCTTCAAGGAAAAGGAAGCTGCGGCTGCTCAAGAAATGGAACTAGTAGCCTTGGAAAATGGGAGACAGCTGATAGAAAGTGGAGCAGATGGTAATGAGACTGCTCAATGCAATGGAGTGAAAGCCAAAGAGGGTAAGGAGCAAGAGGATTTGCAAATTGAGCATTTAGTGTACCATGTAAGATGTTGCTGGGTCTTCTATATTGGCACTTGAACAGTGTTACACAAACAGTCATATACCATATCTACATTAGTTAGAGATAACATATTAGTGGCAGACTTCTCATTAGTAGTATTCTTTTGCATTGTTTGAAATTTACCATGGCTTGCTGTCATTTTGAGGCAAAGGAGGGTATAAAGGTCCTTGTCACGTGTTATAACTGGGGGTATTACTTAAGTATTTGAGAGAGTGTCATGTCCTCATTAATGAAGAAATTTCTTATGAGTCATTAAAATGGAAGCATTGTTGCATGTTGTGCTGTGAATTTAATTTCTGGAACTGGTTATTGTCTTTTAAAAGTGATTGCTTACATTTTTTTGCTGAAGTTCATTTATGACCTTTTGAAACTGCTGGTGCAGGGCACTTATTTTTCTTGGAGTGACACTTTAAATTGGTTCATCCAAGTCCTTTTCATCATTGAATTAAGGGTTTCATTTGAGATCATGATGCATTTACAGTGAGATTGAACCACAATCAGGATTCATAGATGTCAGATGAGTGGCAAAATTAATCAACACTTCTCAATCAGCAATGGCACACATTTTGAACATAAGGATATCAGTGGCACCTGTGCTCATCCATGGACTTCCATGCATGATAATTCAGATTTAACTATAAGAATAGGAAAATCAGAATCTCTGGATTCATCCATGAAAGGTTTATCTTGAACTGACTTTTATCAACAAATTATACCTTTTAATAGGTAATTCTCTTGCAATGATTGCCAGAAACAAGTTTTTATCATGGAATTGCAAATTTTCCATGTCATTTCTATCCTATAACGAGCCAATAATGGAGTGGGAATGTGGTTATAATTGTAGCAGGATATGTACTATCTTCATGCATGCCAAGATGATAAATTAGTTGCTCATTCGATTAGTCATGTCCATGCATAAAGCAATACTCTCCAGTACGCTTTAACCTTTTTGAAGGTTAGTATAATATTTAGGTTTTTCTTTATCTCCTCATAGTATGCACAATGGAAGTGTCTTTTGCTCTCCGAAGTATCAAATCACACCATGCCCTTCCATTTTCTGTAGAGCAGTCCTTGGACTAACTGCCCTGAATTATGCATAAGCCTCAATTTGACTGAGATGCCCTATAAGTTTTTTCGTTGCTATGTTCGCATTTGTTGGATCTGAAATTCTTGGGACATTATTTCTATAAGCCATCTTCCCCAATAATGCCATCAGCCCTGCCCCCCTTCTCCCTAGAGCCATTGTTCATTCAACATTTTCATGTTAGTACAAGTTTAATCTCATTACAATGAATTTCGTTACACTGAAGATTTCATTCTACTGAGATATAAAAAGTACATTACTATGAACCATCAGCTAGTTTGTAAAAACATTTTAATTGTACTGACATTTTTCATTGTAACAAAGTTCATTATAATGAGATTTGATGTGTATCATGGCCTTGGGTCTGATGAAAGGTGAGTCCCATAGGAAAATGGATGATTTGATGTCAAAATGCCAAAATTGCTAGCTGTTATTCTGTTCTTTTTCTCTACATTCCTTATTTGATTTACTTACATGATTATCTTGCAGCTTCATTTTTTTTTTTTACAGCCCACATATTCTGATGATGTGTTGCTTCATTAACAGTCATATTGAGTGCCCTATGAAGTTTGTTCTTCCTCTGGTCATTCCCTGGAGAATGTCAAAGGACATCACAAATTGTGTCTCACTGTATGTCTTCTTCCAGTGGGAGAGTTTTAATTCATCTTTGAGTATGTTTCAATTTCTCAAGGGAAACTCACTTTTATTTCCTTTCAACTTCAATTTAAAAAAAAATTTCAGTGTCCTCTGCTTAGACTGACTCAAGTGAGGAAGAATATTAACTTCAAGTATGGAAATGAAGTCAAAAGTAGCAGCTTGTAAGGATTTTAATGAATGTGAACCATATTTAGGAATGGTTGGTTATGAATGAATGACCTTTACTGTGGCAGTAGAAGTAGAACATACCAATCATATGCCATGTGTGAGCATCCATGCACTCTCCCTGACCCATTTTGAATTTATCACCAGCTTGCTTTAACCCTTTAACACTACTGATTTTCTAAGTCAATGAGTCTTCCCCATTCCCCAGTGCTGAGTTGTTTTTTTATTTATTTTTTAAGGTTTCTTACTTTTGGACTACTTAATGAAAATTTGCAAATTACCTAAGTTTTTCTTGGTGGTGGTCTTTCATGGTATTGAGATCCTCTAACACTAGTATTTAGATTCATTTTTCATGGAGTACAGTTGCAATCAAGAAAGTCAACACTTAAATGCACTGGTGAAAGCAGTCCCACTAATATGTTTCTTCTGTCAAAATGTGATCAAGTTTTTGCTAGCATGCTGCACATCACTTTCAATGCCACTTTTTGATAATTCACTCTATTCAGCAACACTTTCCTCAGATTCTGCAGTGCAAAACTAAATCGTTAATATCCAAATCACAAAATTTTCATGTTTTGTCCGCTTTTTCAAACTGCTAGTTGATGCCATATTTAAGAATATGGGATGATGAGATGGATAATTTTGTGCAAATGTAATATAAAACATACTGACTTCCTTTTTTCAGCAAGAGACTAACAGGTGAGGATTTTGAAATATTTTAATTGTGATTCCCTTTCATTCATTCCCTTTCAAATCATCCCTTTTGCTCCAAAGCAGAATTGTATCCCATCAGCTTCTTGGGATTCTAAGGCTCAATGTGCTTCTATGGCTAATCCAGGAGGTAGGGGGAAATTCTGGGAAAAAATTATATGCAAGACAAAATGTATTTGTATATATCCCAGAACATACACAGCTATAGCAATGACTGAATTTCATATAAAGCAATTTTAAACAGCTGTGTATTTATTCACTGTACCTGATTGTTGCCATTGGTTGAAGACATGTCAAAGGGAAAAAAACTGGTGACTTGAGGAGTGGCTCAGCATCTTTTTACTGGGCAGCTGCATTTTCTAAATTTGTGGTTAGTTTTTAACCCCTTAACTGGTGATTTTCCATGCAGCAGGCTGGGTGGATAGTTTTTTCTATGTGTATAAAACTCTTCTCAACAGAGAAGAGTTTTACTCTTCTCATCACCCAAATAAATATGATCAAGGAGTTGAGTGATTTTGATGAAATTTGGTGAATATAATCATATTATTATACAAGGGTGTGAGATGAATATTTACAGAGAAAATTTGCCATGTGCATCATATTAATAATGAAATCAAATCGTATTAATCACCCAAAATGGTCATCTAGCAGGATTTTATTGATGGGATGTGATTTGAGAACTCCTAAAGATGTTTAGAAAAATTATCAATTTCAAGGTCATGGGATGAAGCAATGCAGGGAACTTGTTGAATGCCTAAAGAATTGGGGAAGTGGGTGGTGCTGTTCATGAAGCCAGATTCTTTTTCTCTTTCCCATAAGCTACCTCTACATAGGACTGTTATTGAGAGGCTAACTGCAAGGCAGTGGCGTGATGAAGTTGCTGAAGCTTGTTGATCACTTGTTGTAATGAAGCTTCAGCTACATGTATCAGACTAAACATTCCTATGGTAGAACAAGTTTTCTCAGTATTGCTTCATTCCATGACCTTTATACTTTGCTAGATTTTTATTCAAATCTTTAAAAGTTTTCCAATCTCATTTCATCCATAAAATCCTACAAGTTTTGTGGGAAACCATGTTTTTGGATCAACTATTGAAATTAGAGTATATGGCAAATTTTCTTTGTGAATATTCATCCCACATCCTTGAAACTCTACTGGTATGGGAAGAGTCTACACCAGATGTGTATACTCATCTATATCCAGGACCCAAAGGAGTGCATTCATCAAAACCCATCAATTATGAGAAGCTGAAATTCCTTGACAAGGATACTTGTCATTCATACCACATAAGAGAATGGCCTTAACAAGGAATCTTGTCAATGCCAGTTGAGAGGTTAATCACATTAGAAAATACAGCACTGTGGGCTACCTGACTTTAAGGATCTGAGTTAAAGCCTAACCTCTGTTCATGGAAGTCTGTGCATTATACAGATTTGGTGTCAATACAACAATTAGCTATGAAGATGGATGAGTTCTGAAGACTGCATGTAGAAATAAATTTATAAACTTCCATATTGCTTGAATTAATCTAAAAACTTCATTTCAGACCCTGGAGGAAGTGAACCAGAGGCTGGGGAAATACTTGACAGTGAGACTGAAGGGGATCAGAAGAGTCAGAATAAAGAAGAGGAATCTCAAAATGTGGTGGACCAAGAGGAAGCCAAGAAGCGGTTAAATCTCCCTGAAGTGAAGGTCTGCTCTGCTGCAGAAGCACAGAAGCAGGAGTCCCTGACCCCTGCTGATCTCAAGGCATATTGCCAGAAGCTGTTTGAATTCAAGGAGTTGCGAACCCTGCATTTCAAGTTTGTTTCTTTCTTGTTATTGACCCAATCCCTCAAAATGCAAACTGCCCTTTCTCAATAAGAAAAAAAAGGATAATGAAATATAAGGAGACAATCAAAGGACATTATGTGTTCATTTCAGCATAGTCGTATCTGGATGAATTGCATATAGAGATATGTAGTTGGAAGGATTTCATTCAGATTGCCTTGTGTTCACCTCTTGAAAGAGGAGACTTGGACCTGGATACTTTTTTTTTTTTGCCTAATTTTCCCAGTCCCATTCTTTCTTCAAATCATGAGCATCTGCTGGTTAGTTTCCAGGGGGGGCAAGGCGCAAGAGTGGCAGAGTAGATGCACACACAAGGGTGATTGTATCTTTTGTAAAATGATAAAAAAGTATAAGGTTTCTGCACTGATTAGCTGAAGGTACAGCACTTTTATTTTTTTTAAATAGCAAACGGGACAAAAATAAGTACCAAAGTGCAGGCATAGGCTCGCTCAACCAGGCCTACTGCAGGCCCAGTGTGAATGACCTACAATGAAGACATGAAATAATCATTCAGCCTGGGATACTTGCATCCCATATTGTACAATTACTTAGCTCCATGAAAATGCTGTACAGTGAAAGAGGAAACTTGATTTTTCATGTATTCTTACTCTCATACCATGGACTCGCCTTGCCATGACACCATATGTCATGTAGAGCAGTAGTGTTACTGGAGCCTCTGGACCAGATAGGTTGAGTTGAATTTTTAACTTGTTTAGCCTAATAGCATCATCTTTTGGTAGGAAGAATGCTTTGCTTGATAAGATTAGAAATGGTATTTCATATTGCACAATAAGATTGTTCTAAATGGTGCTATGTAACAAGAGATTTCCACATTTAAGTGCATTAAATTTATTTGAGTACTACCAGTAAATTGCCATGCCCAATTTCCAGGGGGTGGGAAGTGCTCCCCCTTGCCCCTTAGAGCAGATGCCCATGCTTCAAATTCCTATTGAAGATGTTTCTGCTTGTGCCGAAGGGGCTCTGGGGGGTGCTGAGTATTGGATCATGCAAGGATCAGCTTATTGCATGTTCGTTGCAGTTCTTGATGTTTCAGTTGTGAAGAGTTATTGTCTTTTGAATCACTGAGTGCCATTTAAACACTTTAACTACTGCAGTCATGTATCTGTGACAGCTCTTGTATTTTCCCTCCAGCCTATGGTTGCAGATGCACGATTTAAAATTTGTTTTGGGGTTAGGGGTTCACCATATTGCAAGATTCAACAGTCACATACTAAATGAACTGCTAAAAACACTCATTCTAAGCATGTTGCGTGCCTCTACTAATCCTAGTACTTGAAGGGTTATGAAAAACTGAGCAGAAATCATCCTTGTTCATCTGAAATGTCATATGCAGAGAAGCACATGGGTTCACTTGGCAAATAGATATGTAAACAAACAAATTAGCATATTTTTTGAGTTAGTGCATGTATTCCACATTCATGGTGAGCACTTGCTCCTCCATGTGTGACCCTTTGTCTTTCCTCTCATCTCCATTTTGTTATTTTCCCAGCAATTGCCTCATGTAGAGTAAACACCCCAGTTTTTTAACACACTGATACGACTCCCATAGGAAGTGGACACCCTGTGTACACACTGGGAAACACTAGTAATAGGTTCTTGTGTGGGAATATGTTGATAGAATGCTTGAAAATGGCCAGATTAACTAATAATGCCAGATTTAAGCCTCACTGGCCAACAACTGGAGACCAGCCAGAAACTGGGGTGTTTACCCCATACATAGAAACTCTCAGCAAGCCACACATTTGGCACTTTCCTGTTCCAAAACCTTGTTTTGAATAGCCAAAATTATTGCCATGGGAACTGCATGAGACATATTTATACAGGGTGATTCTTTCGTTTTAGTACCCTGCCTGAGTTATTCACATTTTTTAGGGTACTAACACGAAAGAATCACCCTGTACTAGGGCCCATTGCTGGTGAATCTTTTATGTATTGAGACTACATATGTATTTTTTAAGAATATACAGAGTGACAGCAAGAAGATTTATGGCTTTGACTCGCTATGTCTCATCCAATAGGTGGAAATATAATTTCCCATAGTTCACTTCAGATTTGGAAAGTTTGCTCAAATCAGTGAATTTAAATCAAATTTACAACTAATATTGTATGGCAAGCTAGAAGAAATTTGTGTTGGAGAGAAGCTCCTATACTTGGAAAGTGACTAAAGAAAAAAAAAAAAAATTGTTTGACAATGTTTGGGTTGAACAGCCAGTCCTGGATGATTTAAGTGGAAAAAAAATTCAGTTCCTCAAGGCTTTAAAATTTTTCTTGACACAAAAATGACTTGAGATATTAGAGAAGTTATTCATTTTACCATTTCTCATAGAATATTGACTTCAGTGCTTGTCCTTTTCAAAGTAGGAAAATATGGAAGCTAGGAACATAATTACAAAATGTTGTTAGATTTGATTGAAGCATTCCTGAGATCTTTTATTCCCATTATCAGGGAATATAAATTCCCATAGGTATACAGGGTGAGGTAACAGTTGCCACTAAGTATAATTAATAATTACAATATCATTCGATTCCCTAAAATTACATTACATTATTGCATACTTTTTCATTGTTGAATTGAACTGGTGTCTCTCCTGATCAGCTCATTTTGTGAAACAAGAAAACTATTGCCACATAGATAACCTGTATATGTGAATTGAGGCAACTAACTTCTACCTCATCCTGTATTTTGCTTGAGGTTCAGAAGTCCTCATTGAGTAGAACCTCCTTACCTTGTACTATATAGTACTTGAAATTTGCAGTTCCTGGTCATTGCGTCGGAGGCACGAAAAGGAAAAACGACGAGAGCAGAGGGAGATCCCCGTACTCCAAAAAGATACTCATATTCTTCGTCTGCCAATTCTCGCAGGTAAGTATTTCCCATATGTTCTCTTTCTCTATTCTCATTTGGTTTTCTGTGGTTTATCTGCAGAAATGGTACATTAATTCTTCTTGATTAAGCTCGAAGGATTGGGAAGAGGAGGAGGAGGGAGTTTCTGCTGAATCCACAGGGGAAGACATGTGTTGCCCTCCTTCATGAATATCTTCAGATGTGTTTGGATCGTCATCCAACTTACACTTTTCAAGAAGTTGGTAAGTCATCATCCCTATTGGTTTTGTAATTTACAGGGAAGTTGTGGCATTTGGATGTGGATAGGTATGGGTACATTTGTAAAATTAGCTTCAGTTTCTCTGCTTATGGAGCAGCAATGATAATATCAAGAAGGGTAGAAACAAGAGCCTTGAAGGCAACTGATGATAGTCCAACCTTGGCTGAAAGTGATCACAAGTTTGGTACCACTTATTATTCTGATCACCATATGTCTACTGAACTGCTTTCCCAGACTAACAGACTGGTTCTTCTTGGGAGATGCTGTATAGGGTGTCCCAAAAATACGCTGACGAAATAAAAATAAAATTTATTCAAAATACCAATCTGCTTGATCGAATGTGAAGATTTTCTCATCAGGAAACAGAATTGGTCGATGATGTCCAGTAACAAATAATCTTTTCAGAACTTTGCATTGCTCCAATCTTGTTCCCTTCTCATCATCATTGAGATGGGCTTCTTGAAACTTGTAGGCTTTCAGCTGGAGATTATTTTTGAGCATGCAATGGGTTGATGACTTGGATATTTGGATGACCTTAGCAATTTTCCTAGCTGAGCGTCTTGAATTCCTTTGAATTCAGCTCTTGATCTTTCTTTGATTGGCTGTGGTGTTTGCAGTCCTCTTTTGGCCTCTTCCTTGAGCGGTCATTGTTGCTTCCCATCTCCTTATAATGTCTGATGGCTTTGAAAACGAGTTGCCTTGACAAATTCAGCAAGTGAACAATGTGAGATTGTTTTCTTCCTTCTTGGAATAAACACACAATCACATTACAGTTTGATTTCATTTCCAAAATGATGAAGGATGAACTTATTGAAAACATGTGAAGTCTATATGAAAGAGGTTAAAAAATTCTACAAAATGGTATATTTGTGAAAATTTTGCATTTTAATTTGTTAACATTTTTGGGACACCCTGTAATGCCTGCAGCCCTCAGCATCAGCTTGAAGGAGCTGGGTAGACTTAACAGCTGCTGTCAGCCCAAGAAAATCCACTGACTAATGCAGCTGCTGTATTTACTAGGGTTGTACCAATACAAAAATTTGGCCTATATGCTGATTCCTGATATCTGTTTTTGAAAGATGACCAATACCGACACTGATCTTTGCGCATGTCTATGAGATAGGTCTTTTTTGCAGAATTAGTGTAATCAAGATGACAAATTTCTTCTTTTGTGTAAATGACAAATTTCAGTCCATTTTCTTTTCCCAATTATGGAGGCGTTTATTTTGAGAAATTCCAGTTTTTCCCTACAAGCAAAAAATGTTCACATTTGTGGTGGGAACCTTTCCTGATCTATTATGCTTGCCAGTAGATGTGGTGAGTGTGATAGAGTGGGAGGAAGCCCTCCCAGGGCACTGGGATTGAACATTTTCTGAGAAGAATTCTTCCCACTGCCCACAAAAGAGTTAACTTGAATTAAGCGCATCAGTTCTACATTGAGCATGAACTGAAAAACCTCTACTTTTTTATTATTATTAAAATCATGAGTTTTTCCAAAATCACCAAAAATCTCATATAGTGCTCCATACCACGGGAAAATTAACCATAAATATCAGATTCTGTTTTCACAAAAGGTGTAAGAAGGATATTTATATCACTTCTGATTTGTTCATTTTGTTTGAATCTTATGTAACTGTACATGCATTCCACATGACTACAATTGGAAAAAGACGAGAAAACAAAGACCTAGGCAAGGATATTCCATATGGAGTATGTATCACAAACTAAGTGCAACCAGCATTTGGCATCAGCTCATCATGCTGCACTCATGAAGGTTGCATCTAGTCCATTCAAGGTTTCAGCATTTGTATCGGAAAAATTAAAAAAACAAGGGCTTCTTGAATAATTCAGTGGGACTGCAGCAGCCTCTCACACGTGCTCCTGACCGCACTTACTTATGGCCATGTGCTTTCAAGTTTCGAGTTCCATTCTTCAGAATAAATGCATATGGCATCTGCCACTGTCTGTTTGTAGGAGTTCCCCAGCCTGCTACAAAATGCCAGGAAATCAAAAAAAGGAAGAATAGATGTGACCCATGTTTGGTATAAAAAAAGAAAGTAGGAAAATCTTCTGGACCAGAGATTTGTTTAGCTGATTTCATGGAAAATACCTGACTCGGCCAATGTCCAATCTCTGTTAAGGATTGGTACAACCTTAATATTTACAAATGCTGCCATATATGAGGGGGGTGTGTGAACACTAAATAGCAGGCAAAGTATATTTTGTGAGAAATACACCATTCCAAGAAAGAACTGAGTGCTTTCCAAGCTTGAGTGGATATTGCCCTTGTTTTCCTCATTCATTGCTTGAAATTCTGCATCCCAATCATGATGATTTCGATTTTGCTGGAAGGCCTCATAGTCCTCTTGATTTAGGATATAATACATGATGACATGTAGGAGCTTCGATGGGGCAGTCAAGGAAAGATGGAAGAGATTGGGTGTCTGATACCCTTCACCTTTCTGGGGTTTTTTTGTTTATGATGTAAGCCTTGTGGAGAGATGCATTCTCGATCCTTTTTGTGTTCTTTAGGGAATGCAGCCACTCCATTCCGTGCTACTGTGCACATTGATGGAATGCAGTATGGATGTGGTTATGGAGCATCAAAGAAGGATGCCAAGGCAGCAGCAGCACAGAATGCCCTTGAGGTCCTTATACCGCAGTTCAAAGAGCATCTGAAGAAGCGGGAAGCCAAGGGCAAACAGATCACCAAGGATAAGACTGACCGCTCAGTATGGAGACTTACTCTTGGATTCATTTTTAAATATTGTTCTTTGACTCTCACAGTGTGTGGATTGTGATTCCAGTTCTTTGATGAGGTGAATATTGAGGATACAAGAGTGATGGAATTGTGCAATACTATTGGGGAACTCACACCATACCAGGTTCTTCTGTCCTGCCTTCAAAAGTAAGCCACTGGACTTAATTGTTTTCTGGTCCAAAGATGTCAAGTTCTCAAAACATTGGGATTTTTAAGGAATTATGGCCTGGGGAAACTTGACATCAAGAGTGAGTTGATGACAACCAACACGCGGTTCAACAAGTTCACTATGAGTGTTGGAAAACATTCAGCAACAGTGATGTGCAGAAACAAACGGGAAGGGAAGCAGATGGCTGCACAGAAGATCCTCAAGCTCCTCCACCCATACATCAACAACTGGGGGTCCCTTCTCCGCCTCTATGGCACAGATGAGGTCAAGGCTGCCCGACTTGAGTCTCATCAGGTCACTCAACTCCAGAAGCAGGCCATCCCTCATGCACCAAACATGGCAATCCTCCAGAAGCTTCGTGAAGAGATGCACAAGATCAAGGATGTTCGAGTCAGTCCTGTTCTTTCTCCTTGCTTTTTTGGTTCTTTTCAATGTTTCCCAATGGGACTTCTAGGAAATTTATTTTTCCCTTTGCAGGAACACTTCCAACCCATTGGGAAATTCAAAGTGCCTGATGGAGTTTCACTTCCATCTGCTTCTTCATCCAACCTACACAACATCAATCTCTGACCTCTTCACCAAAGCTAGATTCCTCCATCATTTTGTGATGGTTTTGTTGTGATCTGTTTCCTTGATGTCATTTCGGTCCTAAATCTTGTGATTAGCACTGCCAGAAGCTAAGAACTAGTCAGTGAAACTGAAGGGAATCAAGAGCAAGTTTTTCCACTGTCTGCATTTTCTAGTGATGTACCCACGTTTAGCTCTGGTTCCAAGGGGAGTAAGGGTAATGAGACTGCACAAGAATCTTGTCATGTGGGTAACATGAAATGCAGACATTGTGTCTTCCCTGATGGTAATGAATGAGTCTCACAATGATCAAGTGATACACTTGTCTCATTTTTTGTTCACCTTTATGATCAAGGGTGAAAGAATGTTGAGGACTGTGAATTTTGTGATATTACTGGTGAATGTGCTTTGTCATTTTGAGCCTGCCCTTTAGTTGCTGATGAACAGACTCCACACATCATCACAGATATACAGGGTGGTGCAGAAGTTTTGCACCATAGGGTAAATCAAATTTTCAAATCATTTGCCATTAACTTGAAAATACTTTGATTCACTAGACACATAATGTTTGAACATATCTAAACTCCACATTCTCATCTTTTATTAATTTTGCAGCAATCAGTTACCTGCAAAGAAAGAAACAATATTAATGTTGTGTAACAGTGAAATCCCATATGGTGTGTGACTTTTGTGCCACCCTGTACAATTCTGAAATTTTTTTATGACAGCACATCAAGCTTTTCTGTTTTTTGTGAACAGTGAAGCATTTAGGTCTAGATTTTTAGTGATGTGTTATTTTTACCTGTATCTACCACTGAGCTAGAAAAAGGACTAATTTTCTTCAGGCAACATGCTATAGGATGACTGAGCCTTGGATGTAAAGAATCATAGTGTCTCTTTCACATTGGCTTTTAAGGTTTTCCTGGTTTTCTTACTTATCTTTCTCATCAGTGCTTACATTATGAAATGTAGGCATCATTCAACAAATATAATAATTCTTAAAGAATCTCAAGAATCTTTGAAGCATTTTCAGGTGGTCACAAATTTTGAAATAAGCAAATTCCAGGCCTCTCCTTGCATGGATTGTTGGGCCTGTGGTAGAACTCATGTTACATAGCCCTTCATTGTTCTTTGTAGCCATATGATATTGTTGGCCTTGGGTATGAGACCAGTCCCATTTGAAATGAACATTCAGGGTTGAAGATATTGTTAACTGAACAAGTTACAGCCATGGAGCTGCTTGTAGTAGAGGTGATGGGTTATGGTTAGGGGCTCAGCAATCTTCCTGCAGTACCTGCATCATTCCCTCCCACCTGTGCATTATGTGAGTTTGTTCCATCCTCTACACATTTCATTTTCACTAGATTTGCTGGTGGCATCCTATGGCATGTAGCATGTCTAGTTCTTTTTCTTAGCTCAGTGGTATTTCCTCTAAGCAGTTTTTGTCAGTCCTCTGTTAAGGTAGCTCTGATCTGTGGAATCACCTTGATGGGTATATGGGATCTTGTGAGAATTTTTTGTTACATGGGTTTGGAGGTAGTGATGCTCATGTATTGCATAGGCAATTTCCTTTCATAATTCATTATCATCATATGGATATTATGTTTACTCCCTGCCTACCATTCACTGAATGTGTATTTTAGTTGAGCCTATCATTAATATTAACAGTTGGGTTGAATTCCATACCAGGTTTTGTGTTGAATGTAGCTTTTATAATTTCTATGTGATGATGATCATTATAAGGAAAAAAGTGCTTCATAATTACATGTGGGCTGAGGCTTTTCATTTACTGTGGTTGGTGGGTATGTGTGGTGGCTGGTGAAAATGTTTGCAGACTGGTTTTGTGCTCCTTTATTCATTTATGCACATATTTTATTTCTTTTGGTGAACTTATATTGGGTCTTGAAAAGCATATCAAAATTTTTTGCTTAATGTCTTTGTCTTGGTATTGGAACTATTTCTTAATGCAATTTTCTCTTTGAACTTCTGTTAAATAAGTGGGGGAATTTTGGCAAACAATTTTGGAAATCTGAAGGGTTATTAAAAATTGCATGAAAGTAGGCAAATGCTCCAGATTCCAGGAAGCTGTAGGGAGCAGCACCAGTTAGTGAACATGAGCCAGTTGGCAAACAAGTGTCATGAAATGTGATTTGGCCTTTTGTTTCTCGAGTTACATGCTCCAGCATGTGGTATCTGCAGAAATGGATTGATTGATTAATTAATGCTGGGGATTGAGTGTGAAACTAGAATAACAAAAGACCAAATCGCATTTCATGACCCTCATTTGCTAACTGGTGCTGCTCCCCTAATGTAATTTAGTCATCATTGTATATAAGCCCTCAATGGAAAATTGCACTATTTTGCAGTCAAAAGAGATTTTCTGGCTCTTGGAGAGCTCACAAAATCCCTCTATTTGATCTCCCTGAAATAGTTCTTGCAATTTTTAACAGATGTTGGCCAGTCTGATATCGGAGAGTTCCTAATGGATGTTCTGTCATTTTTTAACTGTGTGCCGATTCAATATCATCAGCATGAATTATCTCAGTGGTACTCATACTTTTTAACCACTTACCAGTTTTTTTGTTGTTGCAATGAATTGAACCAAAAATGACAATATTTTAATTTAGATTTTGATTCTATAGACTTTGTGTGAGCAAAATATGTTTGGGTAATGTATTTTATTAATTTATTTGGACAAATCAAGAATGAAACAATGAAACACAAGTCGCCCGTGTCTCATACGGGCAAGTTAGTTTTGGGAAGGACAACATCGCCTGCATCAGAGATGGGCAAATCATGGAAGTGGTTAAGCTCGGGACTGGATATGGATGGTGACCAACATTGTATGAGCTACTCTGAAAAAGCATACTGGTGCTAAAGAAAAAATTATTCCTTACCAAAAAGTACATTTTGTCTTCACAGGCTGCATGTGAGGCCTTCATGACCACATGTGGCTCATGAGCTATGGTTTGAGTACCCCACTGGATTATCTATTGTATAAAGAGTATCAAATGTCTTTTTTCTTGGTGCATTTATCAATTATGCCAAAAAAAGGTATATATTTGCAATTAGGATTTGTGAAATCTCTCATGCATTTTCACCAGTGGCTAAAAGAGTCACTTATCTGAATGGTAAAGTAAAAGGAAATCCAATAATATTACCAGTGCAGGAACTTGTTTGTAACAGTACTCAAGCTGTCTGCTTCATTCTCAAACTATAGTCAGTCACTACTATGCTGGGATTTGGGGGATTTCATTTCTCATGTGCTGTAAATTCTCTCAATTTGTTTTCCATTCATCATTATCATAGGGGGAGGCAGAATTAGTGAAATGGAATAACACTATATCAGAATAGTGTTAACTACTCTGCAGTGAAAAAATTGACATCTGGAATTGTACAAAATTGCACCTTGACAGCCCCTCGTTCATTGTCCATGTATCATTAAATTATGCTATGTCAAAACTCATTTTCACAGAAATGGAAATGCAACATTGAAAATGCGTTTAAAGTCTTGGGGCTAAACTCCTGTATTTATGCTCTCTACCAAACACTGTGCTATGAGAGTAGCATTAGAAAGCAATATTGATAAGGCCACAGCTGATATTTTGATATGAGCTGTGCAGCTGTGTGCTTTTCCACTACCTTTCTTGTTTTTGCAGTGTACTATTACTGGCACAAGATCTGAAACACTTTCTAGATCTTGGGAAGTAAGATGGTAGAGAAGAGTTTTTCAAGCTGTTGTAAATCCTGTCAGCAGCTATTATGTCTCCTTCAATACCCTCACTCCCAATTTTCTTGATTACTCAAGGTTTTCCATCTAGTTCAACACCTGCAAAACCAAGGTGTCTTTTTTTTTTAACCCAAACTGAATGAAAATACTCTTCACAAACACCACATATCAACTGAAATAAAAGAGGGATATTGATAACTATGTTTTTAGCATAATCACATAGTCATCTTGGCAGTAGGATTTGGGAGAGTGAAATGAGACAGGTATGTCATATTTGGGGAGCAAGAGACATATCATTGCATGCAGTCAGGATGAATTCCTCCTTGTTTAGGATTTTATTTTTTATTCCAAGGCATTATTCTGGTTGGTGTTCTTCAGGCTTTCATTTGATTTGTGACATGGCCTTTTCATCATCATTACTGTTCTTTGCTGTTCCAGTTCAGCATTTGTCCTCTTTGATGGTATTCTAACAACCTCATCATAGTAATTGACAAATTTGTAATGAAGGAAATCCCCTTTTATTTTCAAGGTCAAGATTCAAGGATGCCTTAATGACTGGGGCAGGGTGAAAGCCCGAGGTAGCATAACTACCTCGCCCAGTAATTTTAAGTTGTTACTTTGAGCTCATTAAAAGAAGCACTACATGTTGTTATTGCTGTAAGAATTGGGGGCTGTAAGTGCAGTATTACACTTTGGAAGAAAATGCCTGAGTATTTGGGTAACTGAAGGCTTACCTGTAAGACTTTTTTACTAAGTTGAAGTATTACAGAAAGTCTTTTGGGGTGGATGTGGTCAGTATTTATAAGTGCAATATGCCATCAACAAAGTATGGATTAACACCTCCGATTGCTAGGCATGGGTGTAGCAAGATATGGGGGTAAAGTGACCATTCCTGATGTAAACTTTTGTCCAGTTTACCGTCTCATTCCCTTTTGGACAATAGGACCCTACTTGCAGACTAATAGTCAACTCTGTTACTGAAGATGTGACCTAGTTTTCTTTGTTGAAGTTCTCTACCTCATAGACATATTGGCTTCCAGCTCAATTGATGCAATGGCATATGGCCTATCATCACTGAGTATTTGAATTATACTGGGTGGACCAAAAAAAAACAAAGCTATCATTTTTGGTAAGTCGTCAATCCCTTTATGGGCTGCTGATTTTGATTAAAATTGGTAGGCCTCTAGGGTTACACAATTGGAGTTTGTATACCAAATTTCAGCCATCTGTCTTCAAAATTATTGGGAGTTGTAATTATTTTCTGATGACCAACAACAAAATGTGCTGTCAAAAATATTGATATAAACTTGAGGCCGGGATGAAAGGGAGGTCCGAATTCATAGACTTTCCATCCCTGCATGATGTTACAAAGGAAGATTGGGAAACACTGCCTCAAAGGTTTATTGACTGAACCATTCATTTGTGGTGTCCCAGACTAGATGCTTGTGTTCAACAGAATGGAGGGCACATTGAGCTCCTTTTCAGTTGAAATGTATGTCTCTAAATCAAATTGCGTGCTTTTGTGTTTGGCATTTGTGCATCTGTTTTTGTTCTGTTTGTTTGCTTGTTTTTGTCAGTTGTGAGAATTTTTAAGCTAAAAGAAAAAATGAACACTTACTTTTTTGTTGATGAAAAGTGCCAATGTCAATCTCATAGTTTTTGGAATTTTTATTTGAAACTTGGCAAACTAACCCTAATTGAGTCACCCTATGTGAATACAAAATATCATCAAAATTGGCCACATACAATCATATTGACTACTTATCACAAATGATAACTTTGTTTTTTTTTGGCCCACCCTGTATATGTCCTAAATTCTGATTAGCACTTTTTACTCAGTGTTGGAATTCAATTTCTTTCCTTTCTCCCGAGTATCAGCCAATAAAGAAAGCCAAGTGTGGAACAGAAGACTGGTGATGAGGATGAAGCTGAATATTTTCCTGATTCCCATAAATGAAGAACCCAGTAGAGGTAAATGTGATTGTTGGAAGAATTACTAATGTCAAGAATAAATCCATACTAGTTTGTTCTACAAATTGAGAAAAATCATACAAATAGATTTGTAAGAAAGCATAAATTAATCATGTTGACTGCCTCCATACGAAAAAAATGCTTATTCCATTTATTTCAACTGTGTTTTCCCCCAAATGTCCATTGAGAAGGCAAGGAGAGATATATGTGATCACCATAAGAAAGTGTTGGCAGCAAAGGATCCGATGGTTATGAAGCTAAAATCTGATATTTATCCCATTCAGTTTATATCACTTAACCTGAGCACCATTTTCCTGATAACACTCTTCTAGAATTCCATCTGAATTTAAGAATTTCCTGTATTCTTTCCACATTTTCAGATTTATGCTTACCCATAAAACAGGTTAAGTCTGATCACTAGAAGAGTTGCTATTTTCAATAAAAATGTAAGCAAGACTTTCAAGTCTAAATGAATAATCTCAACTGCATTGGTTGGATCACATGACCCCAGCACCATTTGCTGGATGGCCATACATATCCTTTTGGTGTTTTTTTTTTTATCAAATTGCTATTGACTTGCACTTGCTTCAATGTGAATGTGAAAGTTTTTAAAGTGAGTGGATAAAAATCCACATTATGAAGCCAACAGTTGAACAGTGGTGTGCTCAACTTTATTTAGTCATCTTTGCCTTTAAAAAAAATTGCCAATCATTCAAAAATGAATGTTGACTTTTTTAAAAATAACATTTACCCAGAACAATCTTGCTTGATTTGGCCATTTGTAATTCCTTGATCCATTGTTGGTCCCAAGTAATAGCTTTGGCAATAATTAAAGGATTTAGTTTTCTTCAAACTACTGGTTGACATTGGTGAAAAAGATGAGCATAAATTCTTTTGTAAATTTCTTCCAGCATATGATCTGTCTTCACAATTAGCAAAAAATTATCTGCACTTAGTCCAGAAATACCTAGCAAGTGGTTACTCTTTCATTAAGATGCTAATTGTTTCATTTAAAAAGCAATAGTTTTCAACATCTAAGAAATATTATTTCTGCATTAAAATGTTCACTTCAGCAGGTTTAAAAGCAATGCCAGCAACCTGAAGTATGCCATGTTTTTGATAGTGAATGGCCTCACCAGTATCTCATAGGTGTTGCTAGGTTACATAGATGCAACCATCAGCAAATGGTGCCATTGCTTGCAGATGGAGGCCATTTTGAGGCTTTTGACATTGTAGTTTTATCCTCCTGTCGTGAAAATGACAGGTTATTGCATAGCTCTTCTTTCTTTGATATTGAAAACTCCATCCTTGTTTCTTTAAATGTTAGAACGTAATAAGTACTGACTTATTTTCTTGACTCACTCTGTAAGTTCCAACTGGACACCCTTCTCAATAGTTATGGATGTGATAGAGAATTTCCATGGTGTTTATCTCCTGTATTGCACAAATCCTCACTACAAAGGCCAAACATACATTGGCTACACAACTGATCCAAATCGCCGAATCAAACAGCATAACAAAGGAAAGCATGCTGGAGGGGCACGACGGACCTCCAATAGAGGACCGTGGGAAATGGTGCTCATCATCCATGGTTTTCCCAATGACATCTCAGCACTAAGGGTATGTATTATCTTCTCTGTCCTCATGGTCATTTCTTTACCTAAATGGCTGCTTTCTGGTGTAGTTTGAATGGGCATGGCAGCATCCTGAAAAATCTCGGCGACTGCGTGGTCTTGTCCCATCCAAGTCCTCCAAGGAAAACAAGTTTCAACATCAGGTGAAGATTCTGGCCCAGATGCTCCAGATTGGACCTTGGTACCGCTTGCCATTGACTGTGCGATGGCTCCTTCCTCAATACACAGTTGAATTCCCAGTGAGCCTCTTAGATTTTTCAGTATCTTAAAACTCTAACCTCTAATTCCGTGTTTGACTAGTCATTTCTTGTTTTAGGCTGGGGAAGAGCCACCATTGCATATGCCATTATGTGAAGGTCCTGTAGATCCAAAGAAAGCCCAAAAAGAAGACTCTGACCTAGTTGAACTGGTAAAATGCTTCCAGTGTGGGGAACTGGTGGAGGATTTAGATAGTATTCAATGCCTTGCTTGTCCCTTGGAAGGCCATATGTCATGCTTGGCTGAGGCCTTTCATGAGCAAGAGAGGGAGTTCTGTGATCACAAGAACAAGTTCCTCATTCCCATCCAGGGAAACTGCCCTGCTTGTAACACTCATGTCCTTTGGGGGGATCTAGTGAAGAAAAAACGTGGGTGTTATGGGGATCTTGATGTCAGGACTCCATCATGACAAGGGGAGGGAGCCTTTTTCTTACATAAATGTCATTGGCCACCTTTATGAAGTCTATGATGCCACATGAAATTTTAAGTAATTTTACTAAAAATTTCAATTTCAGTGAAAATGAGAAAAAAGATTAACTCTTTAACTTGTTAACATGTCTCTCATGTTAACTCTTTCATCAAATCTCATTCTGGATTGTGACCCCCAAAATGTTTTTTTTTTTTTTTTTTTTTTTTTTTTTTTTTTTAAAGGCTCCCTCCCCGTGTCATGATGGAGTCCTGAGATCAAGATCCCCATAACACCCACGTTTTTTCTTCACTAGATCCCCCCAAAGGACATGAGTGTTACAAGCAGGGCAGTTTCCCTGGATGGGCTTTCTGTGGAACTCGGGTGGGACATTCTTGCATTATTGACAAGATAGGGATTCACAAAGCTATGGGGATGATGTGGTCATTCTAGGAGATATCAGAACTGCATCTTCTGCATTAAATTCTCTTGCTACAGTTATTCATAGCATGATCATAATATTTAAAGAGCTTTGTGAGCCCCAGTCAGGTCCTCTGTCTCTTCAGACATCTCAACTGTATGAGTGACTGAATTGTCACTTCATTATAGTTTGGTTCTTGGCATATGCATTATATAATTCTAGTTTCTGTTTGTTTTAGCCACCAGAATGCCCAATGAACTGTGTTGCTGCATTTTGGAATGGTTCAACTTTGTTCCATTCTGACAAATTGATATTTGTGGTATTTCACTTTTGAGTGAAAAATACAAGGGGTGTCCAGAAAGTTTCTGCAAACATCTAATATAAACTAAATCATTGCTTTTATCACTACCAAAATTGGTACACAGAAACATCTCACCTCCCTTAGCTCTGAAAATAATCACTATTCGAATTTATGCATTTCTGCCACTTGGAGGGCAATGATTGTAGCTGGCATTAGACAAAAAGCAAGTTATCGCCCATTTTCAGCTTACTGTTGTCAGCCCCCCTCTGACTCCTCATCAGTTGGGCCAGTTGAAGGACCACCTTTGTGGAATATGCTTCATCGGTGGTGAGGATCTTCAAAGTGCTGCAAGACATCAGCTACAACAAGAAGATACAGGTTTCTACATTAAGAGTATGCAATCATTGCCCTCCATATTCCAGAATGCATAGATTCGAGCAGTGATTATTTTCAGGGTTAAGGGAGGTGTGATGCAGCACCCCCCCCTCCTCCTCTATACCTTTCCAGCTTACCTAGCATCAACAATACATTATGAGGGGAGGTCCAAAAGTTCGGCTAAAATCATGTTTCTAGTGATCCTAAGTGGATTAAATTTTTTTTGTGTGTTCCTTAATTATTCATCCCTTTGTAAAAAAAAAAAAATTTTTATCCCCACAGAAGGTCATGGAGATGAGAGGTGGCACAAAAAGTGGCGGTGGTCAGCACACAGAAGTGAAATTCTCAAAAGAGCAAAAACGGACGATCATGCTCTACCAATTTCATTGTGGTTTCTCAGTGAAACAGTGCCTTAAAGACCTCAAAACTCTTGTCTCCATGACCTTCTGTGGGGATAAAATTTTTTTTTTTTTTTTTTTTTTTTTACAAAGGGATGAATAATTAAGGAACACACACAAAAAATTTCATCCACTTAGATCACTAGAAACATGATTTTAGCCAAACTTTTGGACCTCCCCTCGTATGTATTAATTTCTTTGTTTCATTTAGTTAAATTCAAAATAATTTGCAATTTAAACATTTTAGTTCATATTTTGTAGTGATTTGGCAACCAATTAGCACAGCCTCAAGTAAGCGCCCTGTGTGGATGCATCACTCGCATCCCCCTTGGTACAGCTCTGGTGTGATGTTTCTGTGTACCAATTTTGGTAGCAATAAGAATAATGATTCAGTTTTTATTAGATTTTTGTGGAAACTTTCTGAACACCACTTGTAGTTTAGTGCACAATGATCATTTAGTAGATGTTTTCTATTTTCATTGCTTTTCAGTAATGACGATAGGACAAAGAACAAGAAAAATAGATGTTGTGGTCCTATTAGTCTAATTTGAGGCAGCATTGCCCAAGTGTTTGTTCATTGTGTTACTATAGTACAGAGGTTCCCAAACCTTTTTTATGTGACTCCATTTAGACAGCTGCAAATTCATGTGACCCCAACATCAAGCACAGACAAGATCATAATCTTGTCTGTTCCTGTTGAAAATATGGCATTATAACAAATGTACGAGGGTCGCCCCCAAAGTAATGACTCCAATTTTTTTTTTCCATTACCTTTAATCCTTAGCCCACGAAACTTGTACACATAATCACTTGGAATGTTGGGAACAATGTGTATTTTTCCACATAATCTCCATTTTCTTGACTACATTTCTGCCAGTGATGCTTGTATGCCACTACAGTAAAATGTTTCCAGGCCTGCTTCTGCATGGTTTATTGAACTCGAATGTCATTCTGAAAGTGATGTGCATGAGTAGCATCCTTGAAAGGCCAAAAGAGGAGGTAGTCTGATGGGGCCAAGTCTGGACTGAAAGGAGGATGAGGAACAAGTCAACAAGTAGAGAAGTAGGTCTGGAAACCCTTTACCATAGAGGTATGCAAGCCCTGGAACGTTGCTGTCGGAAATGTCAAGGAAATGGTGATTAAGTGGGAAAATAAAACTTTGACCCCAACATTCCAAGGGATCATGTGTACAAGTTTCACAGACTAAGGATTAATGGTAACGGAGGAAAAAAATGGGAGTCATTACTTTTAGGGCAACCCTCGTATATTTATCACTCTGCTTATAGCACGATAATAAAAATCACCCTGCCAGGTGGCTTTGCAACCTCATTTTTTATCCTTGCAAACCCCAAGGTTAGAAACCACTGCTCTAGTAGCTGCAGGCCATGCACTTGGGCAGAGGACACAATGAGTTTCTGTGTTCCCATTTATTCAATGTTGTCCATTATATGGGATCAGTGGCGTACTCCCCTTGGGGTCAATTTTACAGGTTCGATTCTCACAAATTTTATCATTTGGCCACAAATACAGTGTGGGTTATCAGTTTTTTCATATGTTAACCCCCCCCCCCCCATTAGGGTGGGTAATCAGTGTTTCATATGGCAACCCCCCCCCTATTTTTTGTTTTTTTTTTTTTTTCCCCCCCCCCCCCCCCCATTAGGGGGGGTAATCAGTGTTTCATATGGCAACCCCCCCCCCCCCCCCATTCAGATTTCCTGGGCACGCTACTGTATGGGATAAAAGGGTAGTCATGCCCTGTCCATGCAGTGGTAGTGTTTGGTAGGATTCAATGGTTTCATGAATCACCTCAGATATTCAGTACAGGTGTAATTGCATAGGGATGGCATGATTTCATGTCTGATGTTGAAAAGGAAATAAATGGAGAAAAACAATTTTCTACCTGGTTGCTGTTCTCTATGGATTTTCATGTGAATTTGGAATGATTTTACAATTGAGCAGGCCAGAAGTGGCCTATTACCAGCTCATTGACATGCTACTAATGCTTTGCAACAAGTGAAAGCTGTTTGTGTAGTCTGCCTTGTTAAGAGCTTGAAAAAATTTTTTTTCAGTTCCTCCCTCAATGTCATTCAGTTGTAAACTTAAAGAGAGGGTACTTTTTGGAGTATTGAAGATGCATCACTGACATGTCTGGTATTATACTTTGGTGGTAATTGATCGACCAGCATGTGGGAAGGTTATGTGGGAGTTGTGAAACCACATCAAGAGGAAAAGTAATTGGAGAAAATGTTTACATTAATGTAAAAAATATGCATGTCCGTTGAGATCGTTGGCAGTTTGGTTGGTAAGAAAACATCAGCATGACGAACCAACCGCCATCTTTTCCTACTGCTGCGCGAAAAGCCCAGCTGAGATGTAGCCTCCGCCCAGCGGATACGTCGGGCAGCGTCAAGTGACTAACAAGCAGGTTGCGAGCTCTTGTTCTGACTCTTCATTCCATTTGGGAAGTGGAGCGCATTCTGTATCAAGGCAGGGCGTATAGACTGGTCGGTAGCCACGTGGAATTGAAGCAGTGGCCACCTTGAATAGAGCACCACAGAGGCGATTGTACTCTACAGGGTGGCCGAAAAGTCACCGTACCCCCATCTACCTTTTCATATATTTTCATATATTTCATGAATAGAGATCTAAAAATACCCGTTGCACATCCCACATAACCGCTCAACACAACGGTGCGTGAGCCTGGCGCGAAACGGTGCATGCGCGACCGGCTAGGCGACTTCTGCGACAGCTCAGCAGAATTCAGTTTTGGCGGTAACAATGGCGAACAGCAGTAGCTACACCATTGAGGAGCGCTTAGTGGCGAGTGTGTGGGTGCATGAAAGACAGCACACCGGACAGGTGATGGACTAGGTGATGGCAGCGTTCTATGCACGATTTGGAAAGCCACCTCTGCGTAAAGCAACATTATTAGCATGGGAAACACGAGCGTTTTCCCTCGGCAGTGTGAAGGACATCCCGTGAAGCGGTCGGCCGATAACCCGAGTAGACACGTGTGCCACTGTTCCTGCCCCCATTGCACATTCACCATCAAAGTCGACACGGACCTGGTCATCACCTGTCCGGTGTGCTGTCTTTCATGCACCCACACACTCGCCACTAAAGGCATCTCAATGGTGTAGCTACTGGTGTCCGCCATGGTTAACCGTCAAAGCTGAATTCTGCCGAGCTGTCGCAGAAGTCGCCTAGTCGATCGCGCATGCGCCGTTTCGCGCTAGGCCCACGCACCGCTGTGTTGAGCGGGCATGTGAGATGTGCACACGGATATTTTTAGATCTCTATTCACGAAATATATGAAAATGTAGATAGGGATACGGTGACTTTTCGGCCACCCTGTATATACACTCCTATGTCCAAAAAAAATGTTGGAACCTCTCTCGATTTGTAGCTTCTCGTAATTGGTTCAGACTATCGCTGTGCGTTTTAGAGAGTTAAAACATCAAATGAGCACATGTACGCAAAGTTTTATCAAAACCCATTGATTCATTTC